TGATGATGATGATGATGATGATGATGATGATGATGATGATGATGATGATGTAGCCTGCCATTGATAATGCTCTAGTTGGAAGTGTTGGGATCACAAACGCATTCTGAACCAATCCACCAACATCAGCAGCCGGACATGAATTCATCAGCAGCCTGAGAGTCCTATGGCGTCCAACATCCTACCACCAACCAAGAGAGGTTAAGAGACCTGAATTGAGCGCCTGGACTTAGTAGGATAGACTCATAGACAGGGCTGTGAAAAAAACCTCTACCATCCTCTACCTATATATATATATACACCAACCGAAAGCACTGGGAAAAACAACTAAAAACCACAGCCACCACCCTTTCCCTTTCGCATCGTTCCCATCTCGGAGGCTCGGAGATTCGTGGCTGGGATCACCGAACAGCCGTCGCTTGCGTGGCACCTGGGCTTATCTGGGTGGCTACGGTGGGCAGGGTGGTGCCACGTAGGATGGAGCAAAGAACCACATCCGAACAACTGCTGAAAGAGGTGGTTCTTTGCTCCACAAAGAAGCAACTTGTCAGAACCACCTCTTCCTAGTGAGAGGTGGAAGAGGATGGAGTCCACATCCGAACACTTCTGAAAAACCAATTTCGTGGAAGGGACAACCTGATCCATGGCCTGGGCGTCCGTCGACCGGGAAGAACGGCTCCAGAGAACTGAAAGAGGGTCCAATCCATCAACCAATCAATGAATCAAGTGCCACACCCAACCTTTTGGGTTCGAAAGCAACTCTGGTTTTGTGCAAGCAGAACACACCATATAGAGTTTCTAACTCAAAAAACAATATCTCAAAGTCTTGCTGAAGCAGTACTCCCACTGTGTTCTGAACGCCACTCAAAGTGGAGCCTCCACCTGCCTAAGCTCTCTGCCCCAGCACCCGGTTCAGGGTGGCCGATGGATCGCCCAAAATCCTCCAAGGACGAACCTCGGAACCAATCCCAGGACGTACCAAACACACCAACCGATGTTAAGTGACCTTATTATAGGACACTACAGGGGTACCGAACTATATGGGACAGCCTATATATAGGGTCGAAATCAACCGAATTACTGGGACAGCCTCGGTGGCGCTTTCTCATCGCCACCAGTTTCTCATCGCCGGCATCGCCCGGCAGGTGGCCGTCAGCCTTTCCGCGGCGATGTACCTCTACGCGGCGCGTCCGTGGCATCCGTCCGCCTCGGCCCTCCGGTCCCGGGGCGAGCGGTGTGAAGGTTGAGGTGGTGGAAAAAGGACCAATTGAGGATGAACAGTTGATGAACATCAGTATGTATACTTACTATGTGTATGTAGTTCAGTATGTATATAGGAACACCAATTGAAAGTAAGTTGGAAATCGATCGAGGACAGATTCAAGAGAGTCAAAGTACCAGAGCCAAAGCTATATATAGTTCTTGCGGTGTCCTGTTGTGAATTGTTGCCCCATGCGGCCGGTCGCCAATGAGCGTTTGCGCAGACCTGGGGCATGTTGATGTCCATGATATGCCGGGTATGCCATGCAATGTTGCTGCCCCAAGGCTCCAAACTGCTTGGTCCGGTCCCTCCAAACAGCTTGGGAATTGAGACCTCTCCATGATCAGGGTCCAGGAGCATTTGGGTGGAGGGAATTGCCTCTGGACCATTGAGGGGTCATTGCCCCTTTTTGTCCTACCAAGCCAGAAGTAGACAACCATGACGAACAAAGAAGGTCTCAAGGGGCATATTCTTTGACATCCGATATCATCCGACCGATCCGGAATTCAATTCATGTTCTTTCGAATCTGACGATCTCATCCGACCTCATTGCCAGAAGGTCAAAACCCAGAGGGTCGCAGGGCTTGGAACCGAAGCAATCCGCTGTCGTTCAAAAAGGGCCCGGATTCTTATGGGTTGTCGTCCTTCGAACCGATAGACCATGCTGTTCGTTTGGCTCAGACCTCCCGAACCGCGGACTGGTCCGGTTTCAGACCATCGACCGGACCGTCAAACCGGACCGTCAAACCGAACGTTCTTTCCGCCCGACAGCGATCTCGCCGGGCTCAACTCATCATGCCACCTACTCACAAGCCCAACCTACTCCCCTACAGAGGACTACATGGAACCCCAAAACCATTGTAGAGGAAAATGGTCTTCCACCGGTCAATTCTCAGGTTCTATGTTAGTTTGCGGGAGAGTAGGATCACTTACGAAAACGTTGTCAAACTCATGTTGCATGTCGATCTGAGGAGCACGTGGGGCACTTGGCGCTGCTCTTCAGCGTGTGTCTCTTCGCTTCACCGCTGAGTGTCCTGACCTCCGTGCTCGCCGAGCGGAGCAGCGAGCTGCTGCCGCCGGTGAATTGCTTCCTGGGGCTGTTCCTCGGCTGGGGCGGGGGGACACAAGAAGGTGTTGCATCATAGAGGTGAAGAAGGGTGTAGGACTCAGGCTGTGAGGGGGGTTTTATTTATTCTCTGTGGCAGGGTTTTGGTCGCGGGGTGGACTGGAAGGAATTGGGTTCAGACAGCAAAGGGGAAAGGGATTGGTGACTGGTGGACTGGAATGGAGAAAGACGTCAGACTTTCCTTTGCAGAGATGATCGGTGCATAGGTGCCTTGTTCGATCAGATCCCGCTCCCTGTGATTCCTGTGCCGGCGATCCCTAAGACTTTGTAGCGGCTGCTGGTCGATCATCGGTCTGCGGGCTTGGAGCAAGCCGATTTATGTGCCCAACATGCTGGGGGTGCTGCTCTCTTTGCTGCAGCTGATGCTCGGTGTGGAAGGGGGCCACCAGTCAGTCCACGGGTCTTCGGCCCACGGGGAGGCCTCCGAGTCGGTGGAGAAACGGAGAGGCTGTTGGCGCCAAATGAAATCACGCACTTCCCTTCTGTTTCCGCAAGAGGGAAGGAGTTACTGAGTGTTTTTTGGATCCCCATACAACAGAACTTACGTAGAACCGATGGTTTTGGGTGGGTGTGGCATGTCCACGACCAGCAGATCATGCAGTGGATTGTGCTTGTTCGTGCTAAGCACCTTTCTACCAGGTGCTTAGCTTGTTAAGGGGTCCACGGTTCGACATTGATAGTCTTGGAAGAACGATCAAAAGCCACAGAATGTGTGGGTGTTGCTCTCAAAAGCACCATGTTCTATAGCCATTGGTCATTATACCAGTTTGTGTGTAAGAAAACGTTGTTTGACAATGGTTTTGTTTCTTGCGTACTTTAACGAACATGATAAACCCTCATGAACAGGGTTCTTTAGTCGTGGTTGCTCTTTGCAGATCTCTTTTGTATGGAACCGGTTCTTCCAACCGCAACCCATTCCCAGAAGTCTCTTGATGTGTCTATTTCCCAGCTCCTGGTTCGTCCTCCCTCTAGCCTTGCAAACCCAACATGAACGTGGTGACAGACCTGGTTCGTCCAAGAAAGTGCTGACAGACCACCTTAGGGTGGAGGCAATGGGCGGAGGCCATGGAGGCCATCGCTATTAGAAGGAGGAAAGCCTTCCAAACCAGCCATTTCCCAGCCCTTTTCCACTGGGTTCCGGGTTTGGTCCGGTTCAGACCAAGCATTCTTATAGGGGGTCAGTTTTGCCAAGTTTTTTCTGATCTTCCGACGGCGCCTTTTCTTTGGGCAAGATCTTGGAAGTAAACCCTTCAGAGAAGCTGCCCCTCACAGGGTGAGTGCAATTAGATAGACCGGGCCAAATTTGGAGGGCTCCAGAAAGCCAGGAACGCATCCCGCGGAATCCCGCGGAATCGCCGCAGTCCTGAGGGCGTTGATTCTGATCTTTCCCTCAAAGAAGGGGAAGATCTCCGTGAAGGACTCCAAGGACGCCCCCTGGTCCAGCACCCTCCAACAGGTCACCACCTGCCACTTTTAAGTCTGCAAAAGCCACCATTTCGGAGACCTTTTTCAAGTCGGGTGCTGGTGGATGTGCTGCGTGAATTGCTTCGTCCGTGACGACCAGTCGTCCGATCGGCTGGACGGTTGGACGGATGGAGACATGTCTCATGTCAATCGTGGGAGAGCGGTCTCATGTCTCGCCCTGGTCAATGCATGTTTATTGCCATGTGTTCGCCGTCTGGCGTAGTCTGAGCCTAGCTGAAGCCACTCTAACTTCCGGAAGATGATCTGGAATCAGCTAATTATAGTAGGGAGAATATGTGTGGGGAGAATATTCCGGTGGCACTTTGATCATGAGTAGGGGGTCAGTGTTCATTTGGGGCGAAGACTTGAGGATATATGTATAGGTTGTTCGCCCTTTTTCTCGTTGGAAACACCTTCACCTACTGTGCCAGCTCTTCGAAAAAGGGCGACATGTCGAGTAGCCCGGCAGCCCATTCCTACTAGGTTGGAGGCCATCGTTCTTAGGTTCCTTTTGCTCTTACGTTGGAGCCATCGCTTCTAAATCCACCGACCTCCAGCCTCACCTCTGGCCTCCGGCCAGTCCGCCCGTTCTCGTGGCGTGAGGAGGATTTGGCCTGACCGTTCTCGTGACAAAGCCGAATGACGGGCGGTGAGGAAGCCGCACGGTTGCGGGGGGGGAAGGTGCGGAAGGTGTTTCTATCGTGGAGTTGGAAGGGGTCGGTTGGGAGATGTTTGGATGGGTCATTGGAATCATGGAGTAATCCGTAGATGATGATGTAGTACTTCTTAAGAGGAGTTCCTTGCAATTGGACCTAAGATGAATTGCTTGACACAGCTTTGACACCATGTTTGACTATGACATGCATTTAAGAATTTAAGATCAATTTAGTGTATATGATTACATACATGAGACATGTTTGGTGGTAATCCAATGGATGCTCTGGGCTATTCGACCACCCGAGAACCTGTCCCACATCGGCAGTGGGTCCGATCCAGGCGATGTTTCCCTTCGGGCGTTGAGTGAAAAAAGGACCTTTCCCTTCGACCCATGGCAATTTGAAGGTTCGAAGTAGAAGAAATGGAGTTCTTCTTTCAATCCGCGTTTCTTTTTCTGCAGATGTGGCGTTAAGAACTCCTGGCAAGTGCGCTCCACTTTGAAAACACGGGCTCCCCAATTCGGAGACTCGACTCGACCTCCGCGACCGTGACGTCGGTGCACGAGTTGCTCCGCGGAGCTCCCTCCAAGCGGAGTCCCGTGGGTCCTTCCACCTTGGTCGAGTAGCGAACGGTTTGTGGGGCCTTTCGACATGGGAAGACGGCTGAGAAGAACCTCCAGCGGATGGATCGGATGGCATCATGAACCATCAGGTTACAAAAACATGCCAAAACGTCATGAAATTAGGGTTGACAACTGAATGGTTTTGATCACCTTGGCGGATTGTTTGGGTTAAATCAACTCACGCAACTCCTTGCAACTCTCAGAGGCAAACGGAAGGGTGGTGCACAGAAAGGGTTTTGCAAAAACCTGTTCTACTAACATCGTGGAAGGCGCGGGACATTCGTAGAACCCAAGGCTATTCGTGGACAGTTCGTGGAATGGTGGGCCAGTAGGAGAACTGACTGCAACGAAATCCCAGAAACCTTCGCAGAACTTCGTGGAAGGTATTTTTGATGCACTAACAGCGATTTTTGCTGACCCCCTTTCTCCACACACCCTCCATTTAGCCTTCAAACTCCCCTCGCCGCTGAAGCGGACTGTGCCGCACTGGTCCATCCGTGGATGAGGACTCTTCGCTCCTTCGCAGCCGCTGAAAGGCATCGGCATGTGGCTGTGAAAGGACGAAAGTCTGTGCAGCTGAGCGGGGGGAGGGGCAGGTAGTGGGGCAGCCGCACCTCTGGCAGCCAGGGCTGTTGGATGGTACAGACACCGGGCCACAGTAGTAGGTCGTCGGGTTTTGAAGTCAGAGTCTTCACTCGTTTCGTGAGGATGAAGAGGCGTTCCAGACCGTAGTTGATGAACACATTCTTTCTTTGATTCGTTCTCTCTTCTTTTTTTGAAGCACACTGAAGAACCAGATTTCGTAGACCCGTGAAATCACTTGGGCATTTTTTGGTTGATTGGATTGTTTCTTGAAGTTGGATGAAACATCAGCAGGAGTCTTAAAACAGGTTTGGACCGTGACCCTTTCATTGTACAATTTGCCTGATGAATGGATGAACCATCATAGCCTTATCCAACCATCCATCCCAGCAATACACTCCTTGAGAATGGCCTCCTTGGAGGTGCACTACTTGCCAAAGACAAACATGTGTTCTCCACCCGTTTCTCCAGAGGAACACACGAAAACACCCAAGCTCAGCTGGCCAACCTCCGCCGGGCCCATGTTTCCGAACAACCAAGGTGGCGCAACAATCATGACAATCCAGGCCTGGATGCGTCAAGTTGGGGTTGGTTCACCTGGGCTCAGGGTATAGGCATACCGCTGGTTGTTTGATGTTTGTTTATTTTCCCAGGAACTGGTTCAATCCCACAAACCCTGGGGAATATGTTCTCCAGGTTCTGAAACAAGCAAATCCAAGTAGATTGCCATACCATCCGTTTCGCTTTGGGACGGGGGTCCGTGGGTACCCAGAGAGTGGCGAAGGGGCTCACGGCGGCGAAGCCTCGCGCTACTCCGCCCACAAACCCATAAGTGCCCATGCAGATCCTGATGATTGGTATAGCTCGTGTCAAGACCGCAGGTCCCAGACGTGTGACCAGCGGACGCAGTGCTTCCAGAGAAGACTGCCGAGGGAGGCAGGCCTCCTTGGCAGCACTTGGAGCAGATAAGCTTATATTGTTTGACAGCGGCCTTCTCCGACCACAGCGTCTTCCCACAGAGACTGACTCCTATGTGGAGCGTCCATGGGAGAACGGTGAGGTGGGAGGGCTTCCTGTCGTCCTACTTGATGGGACGTTCGAGCTTCAGCTCCTCTCGGGCGAGCCTGACGAGTTCGACAGCATTCTGTCAGAGCTGATTGAAGACGAACTGCCTGCATTCGCAGAAGCTGGAGGCTCAGCGCAAAGAGCTGTGCCGCCGGCGTGATCGGCCTTGGCGAGTTGGATCGCAGTGCTCTCCTGGAAGGCCGAAAGGTGAAGTCTTCGGACCTGATGCGTCACAACAGCGTCCACAAGAGCGTCCCACTCTTGAGTGCCCAGGACATTTGAAGAACAAGAATGTCCTACAGTATCCCACAAGAGTGTCGCATGCCGCATACAAGAGTGTCCCACAAGAGTGATTCTACAAAAGTGGTCCCACAAGAGCACCGCATACAAGAGTGTCTTACACGAGTGTGCCACAGGAATGTCAAACAAAGTTAAAGTTTGGCCGTTTTTCTTTTGTTTTTTTCGAGTGTGTGCTTGCATTCGGGTTCATTGGGTTCCATCTTGTTTTTCGATGTTCTGCACCATTCTCCATGTGAAGGGTCGTATACAAAGCAGTTCCTATAGAGGCCACTTCCTGATCTCATGAACTACTGGCAGTTGGCCATACAAAAACCTACACTACGAAACATAAGGTCGTCACTCAAGGACCTACAGGGTGGGAAAAAGAAAGGCAATTTGACCCTTCCCAGACGCTCCATGTATGCCATATATTCCTACATTGACCCCCCAAACCACCCCAACTGATCGGCATATATGGCATTCCCATGGAGCGTCTGGGTTTTTTTGATCAAAATCACTCCCTTTTTCCTCGGCCGTCGCAGGTGCCACAGTCCCGTGCCCCTCGGGTCCCCACAGCTGCCGAGTCTGCATGGAACACTTGGAAGAGCACGTGAGGACGCGTGCTGCGGGATCCGGGGAAGGGGCGGCACCCAAAGGTGTGTGGGGGTGAAGGGGGGGCGGAAGGAAGTGTAGAGTTGTTGAATTGAACGTGAACATGTTCCAGAACCGGACGTGTGGCAATAGCAACAGAGAACACATCTATTTTTGTGTGTTCAAATGTTGCATGTCTTTTTGTGGAAAGAATTGGGTTGTTTGCCAGTCCGCACAGGCCCCGCAGTTTGGAACACTGGCAATCATAGCAATTCCTTGTTTTTGCACTTTCATAAAGTGTGTTCCAACGCAATTCCTGTTGTTTACAATTGCGAGATGAAACATCAACAACTATATCACACCATCGTGCAGTTCAGCCAGAGAACTTTTGTGTCACATCTTGCATCATGACTTGGTTTTTGCTGCCACGTAGGAACTGAGTCTTGGTGGCCAGGAGACAGTGCTGCACATCATCCAATATGGTTTATTGAAGAAACAAATCTTTCAAACTTCCCACATCTATCATCGCAGATTTCTGGGAGACTGTCAGATAGACTCGGATACTTTGATAGATCTCTATTTGTCTCTTAAGATAGATTCGATGATGAAGACATGAATCAGCCTCTAAGCTTCAAAATAGCTTTGTCGCCCCCCCAAATCTCAACACAGTTCATCTCCATTTTCTGGTTCAATTAGCTGCTGATGTCCATTGATTTCCTATAGAAACCATCCCCCATCCACCCCCCCCCAAAAAAAAAGCACCACACGACACCGCAGCCGTCACCGTCCATCTTCGCCGTCCAAAACCAAAACCACACAGTCGGACTCGGCCGTCCGCAGGAGCCAAGTCTTGCGGCCCGGACTCGGCGTCCGGAGGACCCAGAGCCCACCGCGACAGCGGGACGCCGTTCTTTGCGGAACCGCGGGAACCGCGGGAACCCACCGTCCGCGGGGTCCGGAGTCTCGGTGGTCTCCGGTCTCCGGTCTCGGTGTGTTTGGGGGTTTGAGACAGCCAAAAGGCAGCAAGCGAGGTCTTTATTGGTGTGGAGTGGTTTGAGTTCATGTGGAGGAATTTTAGAGCGAAATTGCTGTGAAGTACTGCAGGATTGGAAGCGACTTGGAGGGATGTCGACATGTCTGTGGAAGAAGTTTTATAAGATGTTGCAAGATTGGTTTTGCAGGATGTTACTGTTTGAACATGTTATTGAGGGCAGAACATTGAACATGTTGCACGCACAACAAGCAACAAGCTTGAATTCACAGGACTCTTTTTAGATTACTGGATGTTGCTTCATAGGACCTGGAGATGTTCTTTCCCATGTCCTGTTTGCACGTGCCTCGGTTCTTACACCCCATGTTTTGGGGGATCTTGCTTCTTGGAACAAAATAACACATGGTTTCTAAACTCCTAACCAAACATGGGTTTCATGATGTTTCCTGGCGTTCCCGCCATGGCTCTTGGTCTTGGGATCGGACGTGGTCCTTCATAAGGGGCTATGCGGACGAGTCCTTCCATGGCGACTTTTAAGGAGTGTATTGCTTGGATGGATGAGTGGATTACGATGAGGTGACGCAGTGGTTCATAAACTCATCAGTTCATGACTGGGTGATGGTTGCACAATGTTCATCATGCCTCAACCTCTACTTAGGGCCTGGTTGTTTTCACACCCCAAGAATGACACCCACGCAGATCGATGACCCGTCGTGGTGTGGCTCAAATCGCGCTGAAACATATGGGTGTGGCGTTCAAATCGGGCGATCTCCCAAACAAAGGGTTTGCTTTGGGAAATAGACCAGTCATGACCATCGCTCTTAGTAGGTTGGAGGCCAATGCTAGTAGGTTGGAATCACTAGTAGGTTGGGGCCATCGCTAGTAGGCTTGAGGCCATCGCTCTTAGGTTGGAGGCCATCGCTCTTGGGTTGGAGAGCCAGGGCCAAGGGGTCCTACCTGTCGACTGGATGCGCTGAACGAGCACCTGTGGCAACGCCCGATCGCCGTTGTGCTGTCAAGGTGGCTGGCCTCTCGGGGATTGTATGGGGCCTCGGCTGCGGGGGGTCGAGCGTTTCGTTTTTTGGGTCGCTGGTGGTGGGGTTGAGGGTGCATGTGGGAAATTCATGTGAGGGTCAGGTGAACAAACACAAAGCAACATGAACATACATGAACATCATGTGAAATACATGAGTGCTGTGTGCTGTCTAGCTCGCTGCTGGGCAGGATGTCAGCTCTCTTCTGGGCTGGTGCGAGTTGACCCCGGGCCTTGTCAGACTCATCATCCTCTACCCTAGCGTTCCAAGACCATCTTACACATGTTGACTTGGTTTTGTAGTCGTCTAAAACTAAAACACTCTATATATAGCTAAACTCCTTAGTAAAATAATGGTTGTTCGATCAAACCGTCGTCTAAACTGATAATGGTCTTCGCATTTGTACCCATCCAAAGATCATTCGTGCTTCGTGGCACGGTTCTCACAATCCCCCAGGATTTGCGGATGCTTTTGGAAGCGGAAGGTGGTGAAGCGGGGGTCAGGGTTCATGGGTCAGGGATCCAAGCACTGGTACGAATGACCCGCACGTTCTCCAACAAGGGAAGTGGAAGCTGTTTTATGACAATGTTCCCAAATAATGGATGGCTTGTTCCAAACCATGATGACATTGGAGGGAGGCTATCGATTGAGATGCAGAGACCCCACAACCAGGTTGGAGGCCATCGCTTCTAGGGTGGAGGCCATTGCTAATAGGTTGGAAAAAGTCTCTAATATAGTTTGCTATGACTGTTTGCTCGGACAATAAATGATAATCATCGGGGCTGCCAACGATTTTGGACCCGATGCTGGCTTCTTGGTTCATTTTTGGCACTTCCGGTAAGACTGAGAATTTGCCTGAAGCTTCTCAGAAGCACATCATCTAACGTCGCTATGAATTCTAAATAAATGCAGACACTTTCGTTGGTCCTTGGTCCAAGGTTGGTCACAGACATTGACATGAAGGAGGTTGAGGGGTCAGAACACACGGTTCTGTGAGTCTGGTGTTGCAAACAACAGCAAGCTGTGTTGGATGGAATCCTTGTGGCTGCTGTCATTCTGAATGGGGCACAGAGTACCATGACATCTGTTCCACGTGGGTGGCCTGGCGCCTCGGAAGTCGTCCGTTGGAAGTCGTCAGGTACCAGCGAGGTTGGGAAAGCTCAGTTGGGAGGGTGACACGTGGCGCACGGGTAGCGCACGGATGTGACGTGGTGATGTAGCTGCCCAGTATCGGAGGTGTTGGAATTTCCCAGGTGTTTTTCTTACTTGGGAAGGCGGAAGGCGAAACAACTATAACCCCTGTAGCAGAACATTGCTTGGGTGTTTGAAGATAGATGTCCCTTGGTTCAGAATCCTTGTTTGGAATTTGGTCCAATTTGTTTGGATTGAACGAGTCACAAGGACATTCATCGCCAGCCAGCCTCTGAAGTTGGATCGATCAAGTAATTCTGTACCAATTGGACTGTCCTTTCGGGGTGTCGGACTGTCCGGCCCTACGGCCCCAGGAGGACACCGAAACAGGACACACCCACTACTTAGCGCTAGGTATATGTCTTGGTTGTTGTGGGGTGTGCGTATTAACATGGGGAGACCACTTTGGCACGCTCAAAGAAGAGAAATCGACCCCAAACCGGGGTCTTGTGGGGTCGACATATTAAACAAACTCACCCTGATCTACGTCATATGAAGTGTGATCAGGATGAACTTGCTACACCTGTCGCCACACCCGTCGGTTCGACCTGTCGCAAGACCCGTCGCTCCCGGGCCACGCAGTTTCAGCTCGATCTGTGCCCCGACGCGCCCGTCCTCTGTGCATCGCGCACTGCTTTAGTCGACTCTGCCTCGACCATGTCCGCTGCTGTCGCGGCTCCCGAGATGGAAGATTTGAAGGCACCGAAGGCGCGGGGGGAAACGGCCAACGGTGGGCCAGTCGTCCGGGACTCACGGTGACCTCACGGTGACTGTCAGAAGAGAGAGATCGAATGGGGAATTGGAAGTGGTTGTAGGATGTTGTTGGTCCCAAACATCACCAGGAGAATCTGGCATTCACTATCATTCACTTCATTTTGGAAGGGCTGCTGCACGACCAAACATCCTGCTAGTCTCCCTGCAGCCCAAAAAGGGGAGTGAATGTGTTTTTCACAGCCGTCGACCTGTATGAGGACCAGCAATGACCAGCAAACTTGGTGAAATGGGTATAGAGATCAAGACCATTCAAGACCCTGAAGCCCCAAACAACCCCACCGGTCCACGCTCAGTCTCCCGGTCGGTCTGCGACCGCTTCGCAACACCCCACCGGCCGGTGTTCGGATGTGTTCGGAACGACGATGGCGAGTTCCATGGGTTCCATGGGTTCCATTCATAACTGAAAACCATGCTACTAGGGGCTCCTGGCCTTACTACACTGAAAACCATGTGACTAAGTGTGTCGACGTCGACATCACACATTCTGAATTGCCGTCTCAAACGGCACATTGAATCTCAGGGCGCCACTTTCTCTGTATCGCTTGGCATCATGTTTTTGCAAAAATGCCAAGAGCTGTGGCTTCTCCACCGTTGTGGAGTGGAATGCGGAACAAACACCAGGGGGGGACTGGGACTGGGTCCCACCCTGTGTGTGTGTGTGTGTGGGATCCACTGTGGGTTTCTATACGAGAAAAATCCGGATCCTGTGACAAACCTAAAAATTGCTGCCTTCCTTTGAAGATATGGCTTGTGGTCGAGCGTGGTTTGTGGCTGAGTCAAGAATAACAAGCAAATTATAGGTTGATGGAGACATAATGCTTTACGGTATTTTATTGAATCATCGTGGAGGGTGACAATGTCAGCATTTGGCAGCTCAAATCGAGCCACGGGTCACGCAACGTCAGAGCCTTTTGTCCCGTTCCAGATGATGTGCTACCAATGCGAGCAGACCAACTCCGGAATGGGCTGCACCACAGTTGGAGCTCTTTGTCAGAAATTGGAGACTCATGAAGGGTTTGACAGGACTCTACTACTCAAGATTTACTGCCTGGAGAAATGACTAGAAACGATCTATACTGTGGGAGAAAGGATGTACCATTACCTGTAACAGTCGGTAAACTACAACATCACTATCTTAGAGAAATGCCTGTACTAACCATCATCATCCACTGATACTGGTAATGGGATATACATATAGTGCTTGCGATTGTGTTTAGCAGACTGAGGATCAAGAAGAGAAATGGGAAACTCCATCCTGCGTGTTCAGACCTATGAATCACATCTTGTGGGCAACACATCGACGATGAAACCTGAAACCCACTCAGACGGGACAGTGCAACTACGGCTGTGTCCTTCAAAGCTGCATGCTCAAAGCAACCTTCAACCGCACTGGAAGCTGTGCAGAAGCAGATGTCGTGTGTTTGGGGACCCCGAAGTCGATCCCAACCCGTTCTGTGGGCTACTTAGCACAAAAAGGCTTGTAAGCTTCAGGAAAGAAATGGATGGGGCCTCGGAGTGCTACTATTCATTCATATTTAAAGCATTGTACTCGCAGACTCTTGATGAATAGACCACTCCATATGAAAAGGTTGTTCAATTCAATTGGGAGGGTTCTTGATCAAGAGTCCACATGAATTGTTGTTTTGATATGTGTTGATTGTTCAACGATTAGTTGTTCTTTTCTAAAGTAATGTAGGCTCGTGACTCTATATGTCAACCTTTTCAGGCCTTTCAGGCCTGGACAAGCCCGAAACCGATCAGACATGGTTAGTCTGTGAAGTGGTCAGCCCGCCTCCTTGGCATCCCGGAAGTGAAAACGAAAGCATCATGGTTTGATGGAGCTCAGTGTGAGCTCACCCCCAGTTTGTGGAGGATGCCATGCCATCCACGTAACCATGAGGACGTTTCTGACGAACGTGTACCTTCTGACGAACACATCACATGGAAGTGGAAGATGGTCCCTCGGAATCGCTGAAGGCCCCTGTTTTGATTGAACAAGCCCAGCCATGAACTTGAACTCGAAGCAACTAAGAAATATGAAATATCTAAGTTCTCTTGCTGGATCCTTCCAATCAAAGCCGTATTCCACTTTTCAAGGCATCTTGTTGTTCACGGCACCGTTCCCTCTTGCATTTGACTCACCTCAGCATGGTATGTCGCTGAGGTCTGCAAGAAGTCGGCAGACACTGCAGGCTTGCAAGATCTACAGGCTGGCATTACCAGCCTTCGGAACCCACCTGGGAACGCAACCTGTTCAATGCCCCAAGGTGTGCATGTTGTGGGTTGATGTTTATTGTCCTGGTTCCTGAATCCTTTGGCAAGGGGAATTTTTGATTTTCCCGGCTCATTATCAAGCAAATCGAAAGATTCCCGGGATCAAAATCGGAACATTTGGTTTCCGTCGCGACCCATATATGGTACCTTGGTGGTTTCGGATTATTGAATATTCAACCTGGGATGACTTTTCACCCACTGACTCATATTTGTTGGCGTCGTTTTCATTGAAACCACGCAGTGCAGTAACGGTCGACTTTCCTCCCTGAAGTCCCATCGGACCACTCGAATGTTGCTGTGGGTTATGGCACCCAGCTTTCTGGCACTCCCTGAGTAGTTTGACGTCCCAGGTAGCCTGTTCATTTTCTGTAGTCAACATAACATATGTGGGCAGAATCTTGGGCTCCACATCTTTGAGACCTAGCACGGTGGTCAGCGCAGACGGGCCTTTTTCACTGAAGAAAAAGCACACACCGCTGCTGGTGCTTTCATTGATATACTGACTTGTTCAAGATTGTTCAACCCTATTTGGGAATGACATGGAATGACTACCCATCTGAATACTTTTTGTTGGGGGGAGCGTTGAACCCCCACTAGCCGTCGCAGAACATCGCAGCGCCGTATCGCCGTCGCAGCTTTCAGCTCACCGCTCAGATGCAGTACACCTTCCGGCTGTGCCAGCTGGCTTCCATTGATTCGGGCCCCTATGAAGAGCAGTGCCGGCTGGGAGCCTCAGGATTGCTATGTGGCTTCACAACAGGGGGAGCAAGGACGCTACTAGTAACAAAGGGCATCGCCAATAGGAGCAAGAACGCTACTAGGGGCTCCTGGCCTTACTACTAGGAGCAAGGACGCTACTAGGGGCTCCCTTTCTTGCTGTTTCTTGTTCATGTTTGTGGTTGTGTATTGTTGGGCATTTGCTCCTTGTGCACTTGCAGCGTGTTAGACGTTTGTTTGGGTTGTTATAAATATCTACCAAGATCCACAAAGTCCAGGTGTTTTGGCATCAGAAACAGCGCTGAGAATGCCAAAGTTAGCAAATGTTAAGGCAGGGATATGGCAGGGAGACGGAAACATATGAGACATGGTGTGTTGATTTAGTTTCCTGGAGAGCAACCCAAACTGACGCCGTTGCCCACAAAACAATACCCGCACATTTTCTGGTGCTGGGTAATATTCCGATCAAAAAGTGTGTTTGCACAACAAACAAATACCACCACATTACCACATGACATTAGTGCCGCCACCACCACCACCACCATCATCACGACCACCACCATCATCACGAAGACATACCACGACTAACACCCGCCAACAAGCACAGGGATTTGGCCTCCTCCATACCAAAGGCGTCCACAAGCACTGCCGCACCACTGCCACATGATCCCCCGTTCGGACTGGGGGATCAGTCCACTGAATAAGTGGGGGGGTTGGAAAATGATGGCGTATTACATGCCATGTGATGCCATAATTGTCCAATTATCATGTTGGAATCATGTGGAGAGTTTGTTGGTAAAGTTGTCATTAAACAACCCTTCCACAATGCAACAGGATGATGAACAATATTGTGAACCAACTCTGAACAATTTTTCAATTCTTAAAAAAGAGTTCAACGTGAGTTCAACATGGATTGTATTTGGATGGTTATATGTGGTTGTTGAGATGCTGGAGAGCAAGGTAGGATAGAAAGCTTGGGATCTTTTGATTGCTTTGTGCCTTCTTACGGCCTTCTTGAACTCGATGTACATAACTATTATGATTTCAGGGAGTGGCCCTTCTGGGAGTTTGAGAAGCAAGTTGGGTCAGGTTCCGGCGAGTTTGATAGGCGCTTCTCAAGACGGGCAGCTTGCACGTGGATTCTGTTCCCAACACCCGTGGCTGTTCTCGTTGTGGTGTAGAATAGGTCAGAGGGAACCTATCCCACACACGACTAATGGGACTGCCATATGCCTATATTGACCCCCCAAACCACCACCCCTGGCCATTTCTCGGCAGTCCGGACTGGCAGTCCCAGACAGATCGTGTCTGGGTATGGTCAGAGGTTCAGGGCTCGAGACCCCACCATAGACGCGTCGACGCGACCCGCCGGTATACCGTAGCGCGACCCGCGCCCGTAGCACGGTATACCGGTCACTGTAGGCAGTTGGTGCTGGAGACCTTCTTCTCCACCTTGACGAATGTGAACTTTGACAACACCCGCTTTCAGAGTTGCCTGTCGTGACACGTTTTTTGGGGCGGCGTTCTTCGAATCAAACAGCGAGAGGGTCGCGCAAGGTGTTGAGGTCCGATTCGATGCACCGGGTGCTGTGCCTCGTGGCTCTTCTTGTTTCTAGTAGCTTCTTGTTACTACTAGTAAGGCACTTGTTATTAGTAGCGATGCACTTGTTTCTAGTAGCTTTGTCTGGTCATCAGGCTATTTGAAGCAGTCAGCCACCTTGATCCACAAGATGGAGGCGAGTCCGCGGCCAATCGTCATGTGTCATGTGGGTCCCTTTTCCCTTGTTTCCCTTAAAAAACTGAAGCCATTTGAAAGCCATGCATGTACTAGATATATAGTTGTGGAGAGGACATGGTCAAATGTCTGGTTGTTTCACTGCTTTTTAATTAAATATATAACTCCATTTCCAGTAACAGTCAGCAAAAAGATGATAACTCTTTTTGCAAAAAGCTGGCAACCATTATCATCCGCTGAAACCTGGTCACGGGATATACCCAAACTGTAATATATAGTATATACTCCCTAGGGGTTCCAAGTGCCTTCTCAGAAGATACTTGGACCCTCCAAACCTAGATGGCCATACTACTATAGCAGCTCCTGGCCATACTACTAGGAGCAAAGGGCATTTCTACTTAGGAACAAGGACGCTACGATCGTGGCTCCTGGCCTCGCTACGAATGGAGCAAGGCCAAAGGGTGGGACCCCTCAGCCGGTGGACATAGCTCGTCCACCGTCGGCTCTACCTTTGCTGGCGCCACATGTTGTGTCCAGCGCGTGTCACTTCGTGTGTGTTGAGGAGAGTTGGAGCCTGGGGTGAAGAGTTCTTGAATTGGAGTGGTTGGTCAGACACTTATAAGACTTATAAGTCTAAGACATTTGATCACGTTTCAGTTGGAGAATCTTCTGACTGCTGTGGAACACTGGAAGCGTCCAGCACTCAACATATATTCAGGTCTCATTAGGAGCCTCTACTTCCAGAAGTGAACCGAAAAAAAGAACAGGATCTGGGAGGTTCTCCCTCCTTCTCAGTAGAGAATGCAGAACTGAAGCCTGACACAGTGCCTTCACTGCAAGCCCTACTAAGTTGCTCTCCCCGCAAGCAAAATGTAGCGTTCACGATGAATGTTTTTCTTTGTTTAATACGTAGTGTCTTTGTTGCTTGTTTTGGTTTTGGATCCTCTTTGGCCACTTCGTCACCAGCCACGGTAGCCGCTCGAGTTCTCCTGATCCGCTCGAGGTTTCGGTGTGCCGACCGCGACCGCGTGAGACGCTTCGTGCCGCGCCAGGAGCATTTGAAGCACGCGGGCTTCGAGGCACCGGTGCAGAACGCCACCCTTCCCAAGGCACCGGGTGGCCGGGTGAGGTGGCGGAGCCGGGTGGGGTGAGGGTCGGGTCGGGTGGCGGGCGGCCAGGTCGGTTTGAGGCGCTGGTCGGGGAGGGGCGGTCGAAGGATGGAGTGAAAAGCGAAGATCTGAGAAACAGAAAGGACAAGCTGTGATGAACACCTGAGACAGGGCTGATAGGGTATTATTGTTTAATTTATATGTTCTCCACGGACATGTCATTCTAAAAGAACCAGATGTGTCCTATGAGAGGAATTTCTGTGATCTGTCCCCGGTAGAAGTGGTTGAATCCAGGTAAAAGTTCTTGAGAATTGGATTTTCAGTGGACTGAGACTGACGGTGACAACAAGCACCAAAAAGACCATATGGTGTCAACAAGCAGGACGATCCTGGCGGGCTATGACCGTCCCAGACCATCCCGAGAGGTGAAGAAGGCGGGCTACGAGACGGACCCCGCAGTGGAGAGCACCGTGGAGGCGAGGCTTCTTCGGTGGAACTCCGCCACCGATGGCGGCGTTTGGTTTTTGTTTGGTTACAAGTGGGTTGAGAGTAGATGGCACTGGCACCCCAAGATGTCTTTGATTTTTTGGGGGTCCATTTTTTAACCACCGACCTTTTGGGGATTGTGCCATCTACTCTCAATCCACTATACAATACCCAGACGCGACTCACGGGCCTGCCAGTCCGGACTGCCGAGAGCTATGGCCAGGGCTGGTGGTTTGGGGGGTCTTTTCTGGGGCGGCAGTCCGTCCTGGCAGTCCCAGACAGGTCGTGTTTGGGATAGGAACAAAGACGCTACTGAGTGAGGCTCCTGACATCGCTACTGGAAACAAGAAGCGACGAACGGGGCTCCTGTCCTGGCCTTACTATAGGAGCATGGTCCACGCTACGAACGGAGCAAAGGGCAATATACGTGAAACCAACCATCCACCACAGGTGGAGTCGTAGCTTGCAGCTCCAGCATGTCTAACTGGTTAGGTTAGCAAATGTTTTTGGGCTGGGTGTTTTGTGGCGAAACCAGGTTTATACCTGACATCCTCATGGAAGCAGGATGACGCAGGCGGCACTGATAGATCAAAAGGCTCTTTTGGATGTGGCCGAACTGTTCCACGTAACCATGATGGTTTCACGGAGTGTATCCTCCAGGGACCGATATTGGATGATTGCACACAGCCTTGAACACCGCGTAATATTTCGGCAGTCGATCGATGTTTTTGTAGGATTCTGGGGATGGTTCAGTGTTTCAGAATGGTTTCATCTTCCTTAAACAATCCGAAACACGGATAAACGGAGTTCAGTTCTCCCAGAGTTGTTCAAAGGGGCATGTCATGCATTTTTCAATTCTCCTGGATCTTCGTTTAAAGGGGCGGAACATGATCGCTAGTAGGGTGGAGGCCATCGCTAGTAGGGCAAGAACCTGGAACCCAACCCCCGAGGCATCCCCAGGCTCCAGGTGTTGGAGTGAAGCTCCCCAACTGGCGATCTCACGCGTGACACCGCGCTGGGAGCCGCCGCGGTGGCTTCCGGCCTTCGCTTGAGGAGCTCTTAAAGCAAGCGGAGCCCACGGGAATCTTGGCGCGCTCGGCCCTGGTGGGCAACGAAGACATCTTCGGTGCCTTGGGCGTGCCACGTCCGCGCGTCCCACGTCCGGCGGAGGAGTAGATCCAACATTCACTACTGTATCAGTTCTTGGGCCATGTTCACTTGATGCGCGAAATCTGCTGCAATGCGCAATGAACTGATGCAAGGTGGTAGTGCTGTTTCCTTCCTGGATTTGATGTGCGTTGGAAACCTTGGAACTCATATTCTTGGGGGATATTCCGATTCCCCATTTTTTAGATGTTTTTCACGCTTTGTGGTGTGGTAGCTTCTGTTGGCTCTTCGTGGCTTTTGGTGGATTTGGGCTTCCCCAGTGGCTTTTGTTGGCTATTGGTGGCTTTGGTTGGCTTCTGGTGGCTTTTGATGGCTTTTGGGTGGCTTTTGTTGGCTCTTCATGGCTTCGGTTGGCTTTTGGTGGCTTTGGAAATTTGGCTTCCGGTGGCTTCCGGTGGATTGGTAGCTATCAGCCTCACCACCACCATCACCATCATCATTATCATCACTGTCATTGTCATTGTCATCATCATAATAGTAATAATAGCAACAAATAATAATGATCATCATCATCATCAAGTGCTATCACATCTACATAGATACAGGTGTTTGGATACAGGTATTGAGACACAGGTTCGGAGGTATAGGTGATACTGATACAGGTGTTGAGTAGTTCCCAGATAGCTCCCGTGAAGTTGAGGGTGGTGAAGATCCTATCCTCCACCAATCTGCCAATTTGCCCCCGTGGATGATCAAATTATGGAACGTGTTGCACAAGTGGACAGCACCATTAGGTCAAATGGGTGGCATTCCCGTGAATTAACCTCAAAAAGCAGGGCTGACAGGAGTTCAGATTGTCGTCGTGATGTGAAGAAAAAGCAGGAGGATGTTGAGGCAGGAGCACCAAAGGATGAGCATCAAGCAGCAGCATCAACTGACATTCCAAATGTTTGTCACGGATAACAAGCTCACAAGACAGTACCGGGCAGCCAAAAGGTAGAAGCCTCAGGTTTTGCATGGATTGAACAGCACGAACAGCTGGCTGTTTCTTCCGCTACATTGTGGAGCTACTCCCAACGGTCGTTTTGGGGAGACGGATAAGAGATGATAAGAGTCTACCAGGGCCGGCTGGCTGGGAGGTGCAGGGCTGTTCATTAACCACCCCTTAGGCAGATAAGAGTCTGCTGATGCAATTGACTCTTCGAGCATATACTTGGAAGGGCCTGGTTTTCGGTGGATAGCAGTCATTTCATTGGTTGCCCCGCCAGACACAGCCTGGTATTTTCCCCAAATCAGACCAAGTCTAGATCCACTCACTCAGACGGCTGAAACTCACTCAGCAGCCTCGGGTTTTCCGTGTGGCTCATCGTTGAACGAAGAGTGTGTCGTTGGAGGCCCAGTGTCGTCCGCTGGGCCGAGTCTTTCGCATCGTTGTGACGCCTCGCGTCCGAAGCGAGGAGATAGTGGGGGACAACGGCTAAGACGAAGGCGACACGCGGCGTGTATCGAATGACTAAGGGGTTTAGTTCACTGATGTTGACCCGCAAGGTATTGACATCCTTCCGCCAAGAAGTCTGCGATATCGAAGCATACCGAAGCGGCGCCACGAAAAGGTTTTGTTGGGCGATGGTGGAACAGAAAGCAGTGCGTTGGTAGGCTTAGATGTTCCTTTCTCTAATATACAAACTGGATGTATTAAATGTATACCGTGGTTCAAAGCAGAACGGCACCAGGACTTCCTTCATCAAACAGACGACAGGTTTGGATACATGTTCGTCTCGATCTTGCATTCATGGTGTGGTGTGAAAGCTTCTTCGACGTCCTTCACATCAATCTGTGCCTGTTTGGAAGCTTCTTGTTGGTGAACACCGCCTGAGGCGTTCTGGAGATGCTGACCTATGGACTTAAGGGTGAGGGGGCCGAGGTCAAGACCAATCCGGGTTCGGGATTCGGGGTGATTCAGGTCATCGTGTTTGGGTCAATCATCGCCCAGTCACACTGGAAGCTGAGGTAGACATAGAATTCATTGGATCATAGACAATCAAAAAAATACAAAGGCCATCAAAAGACATGGAGTGTTTGGGCCATGTTGTTTTGGTTGTTTGTAAGAGTTGGAGTTTTGCCAAGAACTGCCAGCTGAGTCTGAGACCTCTCAAACTAGAGTGGGAAGCTTCAATAGAGCTGCTATAGTCCCTAGATCTGCCTAGTGAATCCCCCCACGAGCAAACAGGTAACATCTGACCGTCAGGGGTTGTTTGGCTCCCTTCAAACTCCGCTCAGCCCCAAGCGTCTGAACTTTGGCCAATCCCCATAGCGATGGCCTCCAAGCTACCACTTGGGATTTCAGCTCTCTAGGTCCTTGAAGGGATGTAAACCTCGTTGGTTGATCTTGAGACATCCAGAAAAAGGGGCGGTGACGGCACAACTATTACAGGTCAGTTCGCACAGACCCAAAGAGCAAACCAAGCTCTTCCGTGGGGGGTTCCCAAGCGTCTGCCGTTTGGACCTCTCCAGATGCGACATGATGTCGCATCCGACGCGCCTCTCCATCGTCGCGCGCACAGACAGCGCGGAGAAAAGAGGCACCTGCGCCTACTTCTACCATGCGGAGGAGCTGAAAGCTGGAGACGCTGCTTATGCCGAGGGCCGCGAAGCGGCAACAGAGGGGGGGTGCCAATAACTCCCAATAAGTCTCAAGGAGGACTTGTGTCAGTTACACTCCCTGAATCGACGTGGAGCCCCCGAACGTCGCCGTTCTCCGTCACCCAAACGTCAAGCAGCTCGGGCTGTTCTCCGGTGTTAGGGTTCTTTGGTTCGGTGACTCTTGCAGAGCGCGAAAAAAAACAAAGCAACTAAGAGCATCACCATGATATATCCAATGCCAACTATATAGTTCCAACAATGCCAACAGACCTTTCCTTATAAGCGCATGCAACTTCCGGATCTTGCTTCAGAGGTCCATCTCAAAGCACATAATTGGAGATGCCCGCGGAACTTGGAGTGTTTTCTTCGTCGGAAGGGACAACACGTTCGTCGGAAGGAAAAGAGCTGGCAGCGTTCGGTGTGGCGGGCGGGTCCGAAGACTTTCTCAAATCGACGTAGGTGGGCATGCTTTCGGAGATGTTGATGTTGAAGCTTCAGTGTTGGGCCTAAACCTCGTCATCGTCATAGTTCGTTTCACCACCAAGCAGTCGTCTAAACGTTTTTCGCCGCCTGGGGTAAGACGGAGCTTGCTTCAGACCATCCAAACCAGCTTCCAAACCGGCTCTTCTCTACCTCCTCGCGAGAGTGAACCCAAAACCAGACGCTTCAGGTCCTTCGCCTGACCCACCGGGTGCTGCCACCCGGCCGCCACCCACCCAGGTGAGCGCGAGCAGATCTATCAGGCGCCGACGCGGGTGGCGCGTAGCGAACGCGGGTGGCGCGTAGCGAATGCGCGGCGCGTAGGTGTTTCTTGCGTTTGGCTCCCAGGGTGGTAGTTGTTTGTGTTCAATGTGGTTGGCAAGCGACTGGTCAAAGGCACCAATGCCCTGACAAACCGAATTCCTGATAAGTTGCTGCTATGAACATCAAGGCATGATGGAGGACAAATCAATAAGTCATTTGCAGAGCACCTTGCAAAAGGATGCATCAGAAGGTATAACCAACATTGACAAACCATTAGATCAAAGAATTACCTTGAAGCAGGAGCATCAAGGACAACAACGCCAACCAACCGCAACCAAAACCAGAACCCCAACGACAACTGCTACTACGAAAAAACCACTGGTCTACCACTGCCACGGTAAGTAACCACGACCAACGACCACCCGCACTCGTGCTGCGGCGGCGGTTCCGCACTCGTTTCTCGTTTCCGCTGCAGCGACTGGGCCGAAAGGAGATCTACCGCGTGGGGGCTTTCTTGGCAGAGGCGTGTTGCAGCAAGCCCAAGGAGTGCAACGTCCGCCGGAACGGACATGCTGACCGAGCCGCCGGAGTGCTTGCGGTCATCGCTCGCGGTGCGCTTGCTCATCGCTCGCTCGCGGTGCCCATCGTTGTGCTCGTTTCGGGGAGACACTGGAGACACAGACTGCGGGTGAGATGGAAGAGAGAGTTCTTTGGACTGCTGACATCAGCTTATACATCAATATTGTTCAAGTCCAACCTCCGCATTTTGAGGTTGCGACTCTGGAGGCCTGGTAAAGGATAGAAGATGCTTGAGGTAAAAGCTGAGTCCACGATTGAAAAGAAATACCCCATGATTCCCCTAGCGCCAAATTGTCCTTCATGTTTCTTTTGACCGAAGGACCACCGTTTTCCGGACGGATTTGATTTTACCATAGAAGCAGCTCGTGGAACTGTGACGGGTTTTTGGGACCGGAGCGCACCTCGTTCGCCACCTCCTTCGGGGTCGGACCGAAGGACCCGAAACGACCATCGTTACGAGCGAAACGAGTGCAGGATCCGGATGTGATTTTTCATTGCCCTCGGTCCGTTTGGGGGAGGGCCCTTCATTCCCACGTGCGTGATCTTAAAAACTTTTAGTCAGGTTGAATCCTCCTTTTGGGTGCCGCAAATCCGCCAATTTCTTGGGCTCGACCATCTTTTTGGGGGGGCTTTGTACCGGAGTCCTGCCCAAGAGCCAGAGTCCTCCAACATGGTTGCGTGATGTTGTGTGTCTTTCCATGACTCGGCCCACGACACTGCGCGGCCGTGCCCCACGATGCTTTTCTGCTTGTTCGCAGGCGTTCCTTTCCATGCTTCAGTAATCATAGCTAGGTTCTGGGAGGGTTTTTGGTGCACGATTTTGGGTGTTTCCTTACATCTACCTTCTGAACTCGAAAGGCTCCAATCCTCGCGAGAAAGGCTCGATCAACCTCGGACACAGAGCTCGCGGGCTGTGGGACTTTGTTCCCGGGCTGTGAGACCACGAAACCAGAGGTTTGGTGTTTGATTTGTTTATTTCAATTGAATTTGTTTACCAGCAGTCGCAAAGGGGTGGTGTTTGGTCCCATCCAGTGAGTGGATGTTCTGGGCACCCAACTCCTACCTCCATGGATCGCACCCCGACATGTGACTCCTGGTACATGGTTTTTTGTTTGTCACATTCATAATATAGGAACCAACCCTTCAAACTATTTCAAATTCATCACCAAAAAAGGCAACACTATCGTCCGTGCCATGGACATACATGGAGTAGTAAACTTGGTGGGGTATTTAAATAATCCTGTAGCCAACTCGTTCAAACGTTCAACGTGTTCGCAGTGTCATGGCTCACAGTTTTCTTGTTTCTGTTTCTCTTGCTGCTTCAGTTTTGTTTGCTTCCTAATCCTTCGTGTTCGGGGGTGTCGTTCTCGTGGGGGGTAAACCCATTTACCTTAAATTAAGATCAGTTTATCGACACGTTGACGATCGTGCACCCCGACAACTTTTTGGGACACAGTCCCAGATTTAGCTAACGTTTGGCTTCGGAGTGGTTCGCAAAGACTCGTTACCTGGAAAGCAAGAGCCGCGAAGAGTGAATCGACTTGGCCGTTCTTCACCTGCCACCACGCATGTGGATTTGTTGGCAGCTCTCAGGTTGCTTTCGAAGCCTGGTCTTGAAACAGTTCTTGCTGCGGTTGCTCTTTGCTGAGGATGCCACCTAAAAATGCGCTCATGCCAGCAGACCTGGACTTCCTGCTCTGAAAAGAAAAATGGCCGACCGCACAAATCTACTGTAAAACGTAGGTAAAACCTACGCACACGAAACCGCAGGGCCACTGTGGAGAACATGTCTTGCGGACTCATTTTGATGCCCCGGCCGACCGCGGTCGTTGATTGTTGGTTGTTTGTAGTTTTTGCGCATAATGTGTGATTCATGATGGCCTGGCCTTGTCAGACAATCCGTGTAGCCTCCATTGTTTTGTGGCACTTACAGCCCTTAAATATCATGCATACGTAACATTAATTAAGAGTTGTACTGATAGTGTGTATGCAGTAATGTGTGAGCCACGCTGCCTGACCAGACATACTTCTGCGTTTGTGTCGACGGAACAATTTCCAAGTCCAAAGCTGGAGCGATCTCGTGATGCTCCTATACCTGCCAGTTGTATTTTTTCACAGAACTGTTGCCCTGACAATGATCACAGTGCTGCCTGAATTCGCATGGAGTTGAAGCGTGATTACACGTGGCCACTTTTTGTCAAACTTGTCCACTTGAGGAAGTGCTTCAGCGGTGTGACATGGTCCTTGGTGGGCGTGAACTTATTGTTTCAAGCTACACGCTTCTTGGATTTTTTAGTGTGTGTGTGTGAGTCTGTGCACTGCGCTCTTGGTTGGGGTGGGCTCCTTATTCCCCCTAGAAGCACTCCTTCTATAGCAGTAGCAGCTCCGACACCAGCAGGTGGCCCATGCAGCTCACGCGGCCTGTGTAGGCCACGGACCACTTGATGGCCGAAAGCGGCCACTACGAAAATGGGGCCAGCAAAGCAGATGGATGACAGATCTTTGATGCACACACCGTGCTGATGTTTTTCTATCTGCTGGTGAGTTCTCAACGTGAGTGCGGGTGTCCATGTGAAGAAGTCCTTAGGTGCTCCGTTTCCCGCACGTTGTCAGTTGTTGTCAGTTGCTGTTTTTTCGCATGTTTTCACCGCTTTGCCCCTCACCATACTCTCAACGTTAGCCATGGCAGAGCCCCAAACCAGGTAAGACTGGACATTTGTGCCAGTGGGCCCCCAGCAGCCCCACTCCAGGAGGATGCGCTCACTGTGGGTTTAACTGAGTGCTTGCAAATGGGCGCTTTAAACCTGCAGGCGCTGGGATCGGTGGGTGGCCCTGGTATCAAGTTGGGTAATGGCTGTTTCCGTCCCACGTTACAAAGGTTATAAGCAGACAACGTTAACTCATCTTTAATGGTGCCTTTGCGGCACCTGGAATCTCCCTGGATGAACACTTTTGTTTGGACACTTCATCACGAATGGGGAAACGAAATATGGGGCCGTACTGAATAGATAAAATTGGTGAGGTCAGTGCCTGGACTATATCTGTGTGCCAGCCTGCCAGCAACATATCCAGGGGGTCTACCCCTCAAAAAAAATCCACCCAAGTAAGGGGTGGATAATTTTCTGGGGGTGATATTTCAGGGTCAGTGAATTAAACATATTCAGAATTAACGCATTACATTTCCTAGAATTTATCCACTCGGTAGTGGGAGTAGAAAAGGAAAGAAAAGATAGAAAAGAGATAGGTTAGAGAGAAGAATGAAAGAAACCAGATTGAACAGCAAGTAAAATCAAGAAAACACAAGAGAGAAGGGAGAAAGGAGACGAAACATGATCGCAGACGATGGCGATTCTTCTTGGATCCTGTTGAGCCTTGCTGAAACTTGCGTGTCCGTTTTTTCATCTTGCATTTCGCTCGTTACCTGGGGTTACCTCTGCCCTTGGGGGTGGGAGCCTTTGTGCCATGGAAGAAGTCCATCAGGATCAGACAGTAGTTCCTGCCACAGTTAAAGCAAACGTACCCGCAAAATGTTGGAAAACAAAACATGGTCCTTCTTGGTATTTTGTTGACCCAGCAACCCAGAATCATGTGCAAATATGGTACTCTTTGCTTCCATGTCTGGGAGTCCCTTGAGACTGGAATTGGTGGTTGAATTGAGTTGCTTCAACCATTCACGTCTTTGCGCTGGCCACCTGAAAATGTGGAGAGAAAAAACAGTGTCCTGCTGGCGCTGATCCACTGTCCCCATGAACAAATTGGATCTTGAATTTTTTGTACAAGTCTTCGACCTGCAGGCAGAATATGCAACGCAGCAGAAAAATACAGAACCTGCCCAGAAACAAACCAACCTTCTAAGGGTTGCAGACGTCTGCAACAATCCTTAGTTTTCTTAGACGTCAGACCACCACAGAGCATACAGAGTGTTGGAAAAAATCTGAGGCTGGGATCGTTTTGTTTTAACTCGTTCGTCGACCAGCATCTACTTTTGAGGAGCGGTTTCGTCGATCCTATACGTCTAGCTTGCTAACCTCAGGCCTTCCTAAAATTATCTATCTGCACTGGTCAGGGACATTTTTTGGAGGGGGCCTTATCTTGACCCTCTGGCCTTCAAATTTATCCACCTGTTTTGGCTGAGACAGGGTCAGTCCTGGGAAAATATCCTGCACTGACCCTGGGTTTCAGTACAACCGGGTATGTTAAAACACGTAAAACATTGGGTGGGCAAAGTCTAAATCAATGCAACCAAAAGTTGGTCGTTCCAGTAGGCAGCCTATTTAGCTCTATTTCTGTACAACCATCACTGAACTCCGGCACCAATCCCACTGCGGCATCACATCAAAAGACACCCTTGGTGGACATTTGGCAGGTGATGAAATGTTTGGATGCCGCCCACACCACCCTCTTGGGCTCGCCGGAACCCACGGAGGCGCGTGAGTGATAAATATCGGGTGGGGTGGGCAACTTGGATCAATTGTTGGAAAAAACCTAGCCACGCCATGTGGACAATGTTCCAATATGTTCCACATGTTTGGGCGATGGTTTTTGGTTTCAACTTAAAACCCTCTCTCCAACAATTGAAGGTGAGAACCCTGGAAAGGACGGTGTTCTCCCACAAACCGGGTTTGAGCTCCGCTTCCATGAAGAAACAGTATAACCACGGTGAGCCTTGTTTAGCCACAAGCAGCCCTTCAACAGCACGAGGAAACGTTTTGGTTTTCTGGTTACATAACATCCCTATAGGGATCCAAGTGCCTTCTCAGAAGGTGATTGGAGACTATTTATGTAGGCTTGGAGGGCCCAAGTACCTCCTGAGAAGGTGTCAGTGGATCCCTAAAAAATCCCTAGGGCATGTAATAGTCTGTAAGACAGTCGGAATCGGGAGATTTTATTGTAATGGTCCTAGGCAAATCGGTATTCGCCCCATGAGCTCCGTCTCAGTAAAAATGGCTGAAGCCTGGGCAAGGCTGGGCCCTACGTTTCACCAATTCTCTTACTGCAACATGGAGATGGGAACACGCAAAAACAAGCTAACAGTTCACCCATCGACAAGAATGCAGATGTCCTCCGGTTCAATGGAGAAACCGCATGGCTTCAAGAAAAGAAATCGGGGCGGAGAAAAGACACACGATTCTTCAAAAACACACATTCCCGACGTCCGTCTTCCCAGTCGGGGTGGTAGACCTGGACACCCGGGTCCACCCCTTTTTGGGGTTAATGGACACCCGGGTCCTCCGTGGTGCTGGTTGATGTCGTGTTGGACATCGTGGAATCCCGTGAACAGACGAAGACACGGTGAGATCCACGACCTGACCCCGTCTTTTTGTCTCCTCGAGGGACGACGATCAACCGTATAGGTCAATTGGTCCGAAATCGGTGGTTCTGTAGTAGGAAGCTACTATGTACCCGGATCCCCATGCCGAAGAAGCGGTTCGGTACGACCCTGGCGCCGGACCCTGGACCATCGTCTCCGTCACCGAAGCGGTTCGGTCTGTGGGTCGGTTCAGAAGTGCGTCGATTAGACGAGTCACTTAAGGGCATTATACTACCCTAGGGATCCAAGTACCTCGTCAGAAGGCAAGACTGCACCCGACAACGGCGCCTACATAAATAGTCGAACACATCACCGTACCTCAGGTTAGGTATGTGGATCCATAGGGCTAGTAGCTTCCGCGGAACGGACTGAGTCGGCTGAGTTCTTTCTGAGCGAACGGAAGCGAACGGAAGCGAAGGGATCAGGAGTGTTTGGGATTCGAAAAGGTGATGAGTATATCCCAGTGCATCCCAGGCAAACCACTATAAGGAACCAGGGATTCGTTCGGTTTATATGGTTTTAGATGGTTTTATACCTTTAACCCTAGGGCTCCAGTCGTACCTTCTAAGAAGATGTTTGAGATGGATTTGGAGGGTCCAAATACCATCTGAGGAGGTACGACTGGAGCCCTATAGGGTTTATGTGCTTTTTGGACTTCATGTTGTTTCTCTCGTTTCGCCGAAGCGGCCTTCGGTTCCGATCTAGGTGAAATGAGGAAACGCAGGCGCCGGACTTGTTGGTTGACCATGGGTCAAGCAACAGACTTGTTGGAACAACGGGATGTCAACCAAAACATACCGAAACCATGGTTGGCTGCATGCTGAGCAGCACCTGACCTTACTTGGCTCCCAAATCCTTTCAACTCCGCTCCTTCAATGTCTTCATCTGAGGCCTATTCGCATTCCCGGAGTTCCATCTAGCACACATCCATGGCAATGTCTCCCATCTAGTAGAGCGGCACGTGAATTGATCATCAAACCCAAAAAGAGGCATCTCAGATGGCGAACCAGCAATAGTTTGAGACATGTCCTTACCCAGACACTCCCGATCAGTTGGTTTTTTTTTGGGGGGGTCAATGGGGCGGCATATATGACATGGAGTGTCCGGGAAAGGACATAGAAGATCAAGTTCCTCACCTTCATGGGACATTGCAGGCCTTACGTTCTCTCTTTTTCTTCGCTTTGACCGGTGCCGCATCCGGAAACGGCGGTCAGGTCTCCCAGGAAACGCCGGAGGGACCTGCGATCCTAGTCACTTGGGGTGTGAGGGATTCTCAAGGTGGAGAAATCCAGGCCGACTTTGTGACAGAAATTGGTGACTGACTTTCTGGTGGAATCCATGTCACACACACTCCATGTGTGGAAGATTGACGTACATGGAGTCTGACACAACCAGACCAGGACCGGAAACCGCTCGTCCGGTGGTTTCCACACCAGCGGGCGAGACCAGGGTCTTGACTCGGTTGAGAGACGGACGACTGATGTGACATGACTTGGCGACCTCAGAGAGCGATTTGATGCACATCAAAGAAGAGAGAGAGAGAGAGGGAGATGATGTCATAAAAGTAATGAGAATGTGAGTGAAAGGCTATCCCCTGTATATGGGTTCCCAGGAACAACCATTGTACGAACTAATCTTCACTATGCAATTTTTCTTGAATTGTTTATAGGTTTGTGCATGCTGTGTTGTTGTTTTCCTTTGCGCTGTGTTTTTTCCTGGTATGTTGCAGGTAAGGTACACTGAGGTTTGGGATACAGAGGTAGGTTTGAGATGGGTGGCACTGTATCCAACGTTTTGAATGTCCTACTGCGAAGTCCAAAAACACTTGCAATGTCCATGTCTCCGTGAGTTCAGCTTCCAATGACCAGTGGGTTGGTTGACATATCGAAATTATTTGCTTAAATATGATGACTTATTTTGAAACTAATCGAAATGTATGTTCTATGGTTCAACCAAATACACTCAAGCAAATACAGTGGTTTCAGAGTAGATGACGGCACAACCCCCAAGATGTTTTCTACACGAGAGTCGATATAAACCACCTTTTGGGCATGCCATGTACCCATTGATTTCATAGCCTTTACCCCAAACCATTGTTTTTACGAAGGATTTCACACACTTTAGGGATCCAAGTACCTTTGTCAGAAGGTGATTGGAGACACTATATGTACTCATAGCGACTCCAACGGACACCTATAGAGCTCTGGATGAAAAACGGCTCCAACGGTTCCAACGGCGTCATTGCCAACGGGCGTGACGTTTCGCCCCCGCCCCAGGTGAGCGGCCACGATCTGGCCGTTTTGCTGCGCTTGTTGCAGCAAACGGAGGCCGCGCTCCGTGCGGTCGTCGACTGGGGTGGAAGACGGACGTTTTTCCGTAGAAGTGCAGTGTATACGGAGTGGGGGGCGGGGGGTAGCACGGCATGCTGTTCGACATTGTTCGAAGGAGCAAGACCAAACTTCATGGATTTGTGATTTGTTGTGATCGATATTGACGGACAGAGTAGCCATTGTCTGCTCGTCACGTGACTAATCAATACGTTTGTTCCCTTCCTTCGATCTGATCGGTTTCATTTGGTTTCTGTACTTCATTTAATTGCAACACCCCATGGATCCACATACCTTCTCAGAAGGCAAGACTGCACCCTCCTGGGGCCTACATAAGTCTAGTCTCCGTCCTCACCGTACCTCAGAAGTGATGTGGATCCATAGGGACAGTTGTTTACACTACAATCGAAAGAAAACATGCGGCCCCGCGGCCTCGCAAAGACGACCGTCCATCCCCAAGACCAGCAGGTGGTTTTCATCCACTCCACGTGTATTGACAATCCTTTGCGCGAATGAAATCGAGGTGTATGGTCATTCTCCATACACACTTCAGGGAGTGTATGGACATTCTCTGAGCGAATCGGCCTGTGTTGTCAAGGCTGTGCAGAGAGTCCATGGGAACACGCTTAAGCTCCGATTCACACACGACGAGACGGCGCGTCTACAATGCTTGCAGTCGTCGCGCAGGGGACGGGATTGAACGTCTATACCCATGGAGAGATGCTGCCAGCGCACTCCTACCCCAACTTGAAGACGCTTGGAACTGGAGTTGAAACCATCCATAATTACTTGGGTGGCGTGAGTGGCCTATTCTTTGGGGCGAAGCAAAAGGCTCCAGAGACCAAGGAGAGGAAGTGCTCATACAAGAACTAAGGAATCGGTATAAGTAGCTACAGAACCGGAAAGAAAGAGTATTTTTTTCGGCTCCAGCTGCTATCATGAACAGCAGTTAGCATGCTGCCCGAACGTGTTCACAGGAAGCCAGTAGATCGTTTTTTGAGGCTTGCTTTGCACTGCCACAAAAGAAACTTGGTGCAGCTTGCTTGGTCGGAGCCAGAAAGGTAGACCGACATGAATAAACACGTTCGTGACTTAAAGCACGTGACTGCAGGGACTCATGACATGGTGAAAAGTATGTGACCAATTCAACCTGTATGTGTTTTTAAATGTTTTTTACTATAGGGAGCCCCCCAACCAACGATTGGGTTTGGGTCTACTTCCCTTCTTAAAAAGGGGCTCAAAAAGAGAGGCTTCCTGCTTCCCTGTTTGGTATTTGACTCTGTGACTCTGTTTGACTTCAACCTTCGTTTTCACGGCGCACCACACCATTTGAACGCACGCTCGACCGGTCGCACGCTCGCACGTTGGCCGTGGCCGAGGAAGTACACGCACCTGAAGGGTCACTTCGGCACTCACTGGGGCAATCAAGTGAAGGAGACGACGCGGCACGGCATGCAGATGCGAACGCGAAGCCGAACGCTGCAAGCCGACGCGGGACGCATGTGGTGGTTCGACGCACACCGGTGAATTGGACGCGGGACGCGAACGCGAAAAGACACGTGGGAAGCCGCTTTTGGAGGGAGTTTTTGAACCTTATAAAGTCTTGGTTTAAAGGAGGGCTTAGTAGGTGACTTGAAGACTTGAGCGGATCGCTTGGGATGCACTGCTGTCCTGCTGCGGATTCTTGAGTTCGTTCATGTTTGTTTCTAATCAGAACTTGAACTTTCTGTACAATCCTTCTTCCTTTTGTGATTCAAGTTCTCCTCACAAACAGCAACTCCACAGACACTTTACACTCTCTATGTTGTTCAGCGGATCACTCATCACTTCACCTCATCATCTCCGTCTCAGCAAGGGTCCCTTGATATATGCGATCTAGTTCAACCAGTTTCTTTTCCGAGCTTCCGTTCGTACCTACCGAGCTTCCGTTCGTACCTACCCAGGAGTTGTCTTCAGGACTTTCTCCACTCAACCAGAACAGGTGGAGTTCGTTCACGCTTCACGCGTTCACTTTCCGATGGACAACAATCGGCCTTTTAAAGGCCCTGGGATCCTGCACAGACCGCCACGTACACCTCAACGCCGCTGACGTCCAGGAGTTCCGACACTTCCCGGGCTCCATCCTGATGACCAGCAATTGCTTGATGCCTCCTCAGGGCAAGTACAAGGACGGCGTCAACGGGAACCGAGGCCTTTTCTTGGAGCGGAGCGTGTTCCGGTGGCGTCGAACTTGAGCGTCGTTTCCGGGTGACGCCGAGCCTATCCCAAACACGACCTGTCTGGGACTGCCATAGGACTACGACCCCGACTTCAAGCACCCCTGGCCGTTGATCGGCATGGCAGTCCCAGACAGGTCGTGTTTGGGATTGATATTATATATATATTGGGGTTCCGGGTGACGCCTTCGGTTCTTCGATCTTCCAAAATCTGAGGAGGTCGGAGGAAAAGAATGGAAAACAATGAAGAGAGGTCGCCAACATATATCGTTTGTGTTCCCTAGAGTCCCTAGAGTTCAAACTTAAAACATGTCTGCCTGTTTTTGAGTTTGGAAATCTTCTCTCTGGAGCAGGACCGCATCTGGACGTGCCGCTTGGACTTGGGTCCGGACATGGTGGCCCGGGGTTATTGGGTGGTGGAACCTGGACGAAGACTGCTTGATGTGGTCACCAGTCGTGCTCCCCGAGGGCCTGCAGGCACCATCCAGCCATCTCGACCAATCCAAAACGGTCTGCCTCACCGTTTGACCATCCGTTACGGAGTTTGTATATGGTTCACCGGGGTTCCGTGGGGCGAAGACGACGACAGACCCTACAACCCGGAGAATTGACAAGTGGAAGAGCATGTCGTCCTCGGCCCTCGTGAGGTCTGTTTGTCGATTTTGTACCGAGCTCGGTCTACACGGCTGACCGGCGGCCGATCGTTTTTGGGGGATAGACTCAATCCGTTACGAAAGGGATAGACGGATAGACTCATACCCAGACACGACTAATGGGACTGCCATAGGACTGCCGAGCCATTGGGGTGGTTGAAGTCGGGGTCACTGGCAGTCCCATGGAGTGTTTGGGATAGGGTCGAAGGGCAGCTTCTTTTCGCGTCGAACGGAGGTGAGCCAGGACGTACTTCCAAAAAAAAGGCGAGCAGTCTCTGGGGACAGCAGGACATCCAAGAAACCGATGGTGAAAAGACCCTTAGGGCCAGGGATAGAATCATATATCTTAAGGTCATCCTACTCCAGGACCAACCAAGTCCGGTGGTTTTGGGACACCTCCTAAACCTCTAAGAGGCTATTTACAGACACCTCCAACGGAAGGTCCTGGCTTGTGGTAACCGTTTTTGCTCCTCAACTCGTCTTCCAATCTGCCGCTGTTGAAGTCCGCATCGAAACCGATGGTATACTCGTACCGTACCTGTTGGAACCATCGAAAAGCCGGAGGAAACCTCTCAGATTCCGTATGATTACAGAGCCCACAGAGCAAACATGAGCAAACCCGTGAGTTCCGACTGGAAAAGCACCGCCAAAGAAGCATCAAGTGACCACTGTGACCGCTGGTTCTTCCATTATTCCTGAAACTCTTAGGGCGTGCTAGGGTATGATTTAAACAGCAGGTCAAATACTATACCCTCATGTTCCTTTCTCCCCCAAAAGAAAAGCCATGGGATGGCTAACTAGCCTTTGTAAAATATGTAAAACAGGTGAAAGACTCTCCTCATCAGTTCCCCACAGGGATGGCCCACACGTGGGAGTTCGCAAAACTGACACCGACCCGGCTAGGTGTGACCACAGGGTGGACTCTTCCTGCCGAAAGTTCCGCTGTCCTCGAATTAAGGCGGACCAGTGGGCTTCGAGAAGCTTCCAAACACCCTGAACCACGACTACTCTCCACTCATCGAACAGGTGCGAATCACTCGTCGAGCAGTAGTTTGGCCATGTTTGGCGGGTTTTCCCGGTTGGCTGAATGAACATTCTGAGAACACATCCGGTTCCGTTAAAAGAATCACACAAAGTGTTCGGTGCGTTTTTTTTCCCTGCGCACACCCATCGTCATTGTGTGCAGCATTGTGCACCTGCACGGTGGGTGCATGGTGTTGCTCATAAACGATGGCATGCAAAGAAATGTGTGCTGTGGCGAGAGCTGTGGCGGTGCAAAACATGAAAACGATTGACGTGCCAGCACCAACCGACTCTTCATGATGAGTTCGTTCACCTCGTGATGGAGTTGTTGCTTCTCCACGAAAGAACACGATGTTGCTCAGCTCTTTTCGGGTCCTGGGAGTGAGACGGATCTATTCTGATCTCTTAGAATAGGATCCTTCTCTCCAGTGCCTTCGTTGAAAGACTCCGCAGGTCAAGCCGTTCGCGGTCTCTCTCGGTCCGTTGCATCGCCCAGGCCAAGCAGTTCGCAGACAAGATCCCCGTGCCGCGCTCGGGGTCTCTCGGCAGCGTATCTGACCCCCTCCCACCCGGGGGGTGGTGAGTTGACTGTGTCCAGCACCCAGTTCAGGTGCTTATTGAAGTTACATAGTCAGGGGCCAGGGGTGTCTATAAACCACCATTTCTGTGGTGCTGGAAAATATTGTTATACTGTAATATGTTGCAGATTTGTGTAGTTGTTAGCTTCAAGGTTGATGGTTGATCCCTGCTAAAGTGTTTCACTCAGAGTTCTTTCTGGACTGGTGTTTCAGGCGAAGACTTGGAGGGAAAGGCTTAGTTCATGATGTTTCGTGCCAGGAAAAGTCAAATTGGAACATTGGGGGATGCCTATGTATGGCCTCATGAGCTGTATGAGCTGCACAAGGGTGCACTTGTTGTGTGATCCTGGATCCTTGATGATCCTTGTGTTTTTGGAATCGGATTCCCATTTTCCCCATTCCGACGCCCGCGCCTCGGTACCTCGGCATCTAGGCAGATTCCACACCAGAAGCTCACCATTGGCTTCGGACCGCCCGACCCGACCGCCGGACCCGACCGCAGTCGGCTTCATGGCTGGACTGGAGACGGTGGTTTCGATCGAAGGTGTGGGCACCGCGTGAAGAATCGAAAGACACGTTTCTTTGAGAAACACCATGGCCTATACAAGTCTCTTTGGCAGTTTAGCGTCAAGGAGTGCACAGCCCCGTCAAAAGATGCGATGTTTGTGCGCACATGTTTAACTGTTCATCCAGTTCCTTCGCTATATACCGAAAAGATAACTGCCTGCCAGTGGCTGTGCTTTTTGTTTAGGCTGTGAATTTTGACCGATTCGGCTGTTGCAGTGTTGCACCCATCTTCCAGAGTCCAATGGTCGCCGTGAACTCGCTTTCGGGAAGAAAAACATCTGGGGGGGGGGAATGAGAAATGGAAAGAACCAAAAGCACAGTCCGTCAGTTCCAAAAAACATGGCACAGTCCGGTATGTCTTCGATGGTGGAGTCACCGGGTCTCCAGTCCTCGACTATCGATAGCTAGGGACTAAGTTGGATTTGCTTACTGCTTACTTGTAGGGAACCAGGGAGAAGCAAGGACGTAATTCCCATGGTGCCAGGGATTCACCCAACCAACGGCAAAAGATGGCTCTCACCCGATCCGTCAGTTAGCAGCAGGCTCATCGATGTTTAGGTTCAGCGGAACTTCAAGGGGATGATCCACAGTGAGTGGTAAGGAGTCTTCTGAGCCCACTGATACGGTTTCACCAAGTACTCTCCAAACGAACATATGCCCAAAACTGCCTGTTCGCAGAGGGAAATTGTCTCCCCCAAAGGCCATATGCTATCCACTTCCATGTTAGTCAGATGGAGTGTAGTACAAGTACATCCGATCAGGACATACGTTCAGCTCCAGTCACCTTCCAACATCTGATGAACACCCAGATGTCGTAGCTTTGGTGCCAAGGGTGCCCGTTTCTCCGGGGTTCTAAGTGAAGGAAGGCAAAGTATATACGCAACATCATGCAACAAAACCACCAAATACCGAGCTCATCGTTGGAGTCGGTTGGCCACAAGCTATGCGTACTTATATAGTTTGGACGGGTCGATGCTACGATCCACCAAATACCGATGCATTCCGCCGCTCCTCCGCTGTCGACCCCGGATCGATCGCTGAGACGTCCAGACGTCCAACGACGGATGAGAATCGATGTGAGAATCCCATCCGCGCTCCAGTCGTACCTCCTTAGAAGGTATGACTGGACCCTCCTGGCACCTACCCCAGTCTCACCTTCGAAACGAAGGTCCGACTGGAGCCCCATAGCTAGGGCATGAAATCCATAGTCCGGTTCCAGTTCAGCACGCCAGAGGACAGGGGGTGCCCAGAACATCCACTCACTGGATGGGACTAGGAAGATCTATAAAACCATTCCCTTGGAACTGCTGGCTATTGGAAAGGATGTCATCTATGAATAGCATGTGGAGACCCACGAGATGGAGATGTCCAATACCCAGACACGACTGGTGGGACTGCCATAGGACTACCAATCAGGCCAGGGGTGGTGCCAGGGAGGTCAGGAAGGGCTTGGTTCTAGAAGGTTCTAGAGCCCTGATGGTCTGACCCCTTGCCAAAAGGTCGATCCGGATTCTTCAAGTTGAATCCATTCCCTTGTTCATCCTTGTTTTTTGGAGCTTTCATCGAATCCGTCCCTGGTGATCGCCACTGGGACAAGCTGGTCTTGCAGGACATGCGGCAGTGCTGGGCGTTGCAGAGACGGTGGTTGGAGCCATCAAGTCTGGAGTATTGCGGCCGCAGAAAAGCTGGTGGGGTTCAGAATGCATTTTTGTACAGACTAATGAGTTAATGTGTTCGTTTTGGGGTTGGTGTGAAGCAACTTTGGGGAGGTGGACAGACTACTCCATAGTAACCTTGGCAACGCCAATTGGGAGGTTCGCCCAAGGTTACTATGGCTCAGATGGCTCAGATGGGGAGGTCCTCCAACGTGGTAGACACGCCCAGAAGGGCGTCTGAAGGGCTCCGTCACCCAATCGATATCTTTTCAGATCCCAAACACAACCTGGGACCTGGGACTGCCAGGACGGACTGCCGCCCCAGAAAGACGCCCCGACTTCAACCACCCCTGGCCGGAACTCTCGGCAGTCCGGACTGGCAGTCCCAGACTCGCCGTGTTTGGGGATGGGTCTGAGGGGTGATAGAGAATCTGGATCGCAGCTCCGGTTGAGCAGCTCCGGAACTCCACCCACCCACACAAGCGTCGGGTATACGGTGCAGGTCGGTCCCGTTTTTGTTGAAACGATGAACCTAGGGGATGAAGATCAAAAAAACTCATCCACCTGTAATATAGTGTAATAAACTATATATAATACCGGTGTAACTCTGTAACTCGTGGGAAATGAAGAGGATGATCATATACCCCTCGGTACTCCCTTGGTTTGGATGTTGCACCGCCGTGACCCCGAGAGTAGACCGAGACGAACCGCAGATAGAGACATGGAGGTTGAAGTAGACCGAGACAAGGTCATGTTCCTCGCGGAAGTGCAAATAGATGGAGTTAGACTCCCTGATTGTTTGGGTTGAATTGCGTACTAGTAGCGATGCACTTGTTACTAAAGCTTCTTGCTACCAGTCGAGCGGACAAATCACCTGGCGCCATGCATAGCGCCATCGACATAACCATGAATATGTGTTCATTGGGGCTGTGCCTTGTTCTCCCCAACTCGAATGATGTTGGACACCCACCTAGGTGGGTAGGAACTGGTCGTCAGCATTCTGACTTACACTAGTACTGGTAGCTTTTTTTCAAACGGAAGCAGTTACCACAGCCAGAAACGATCTTCTGTGGCCAGGAAGCCAGACCATGTAGGATCTAGAGCCCGATCTTACACGACAAGAGATGGCACACCAGAAACGCCTTGACCAAATCGGACTTAGCATCCCAGAAACGCCCCAAGAGGCCGCCAGTTCAGCTGGATCACGTCCATGAGAGCTCCACGGGTCACCTGCCATGCTTCCCCTATTTCAGAATCTTCAACAACCCCCTTAGACCATCCGCTTAGACCACCCGCTTATACCACCCGCTGCTTATACCAGTTCGTCCAGTTGAAAAGGTACGATCTGGGATACTTCTGCGGAAACGGCATACTTGCTGGTGTTCAGAAGGGCGTTGATTTCCACTTGTTGAGCCGGTCCTTGGGTATACAGATGTCGTGCTGTCCGTAGGAAAAAGGCGGATTCCGAACAGCGTCCTGATGCAACTGATTTGCAAGTGATACGTACCAGCCAACAATTGCATATCATATTGCCATTGAATGGGTATCAGTACCTGATACCATTAGCATTGATATCCATTGATACCTTCCCCAGATGTGATAACCCAACAAACTGTTGAGCAAATCTGGTGAGGCCACATCTAAGAACTCAACCAGCTCTTCACCATTTCTGTCAAACCCAGTTCAGGCCGTCCACGAAATCCTCCCAACCCTGCGGGATCAGTCGCCGCGCCTGAATCCTCCGTCGCGAGTGCTTCGTGCTTCGTGCTTCGCACCCGCCGTCCTAGGCACTCAAGCACGTCTTTGTCATCGGAGGCGACGGTTCGTATCTGCCGGGGACGTGTCCGCGACGCCGGCTTGGGCGGACCTGCGCACCGGACCCACAGGTGTCCTGGAACGTCCTCGTGGGTACGTGGAGAATGACCCCTTAGAAAGACCATGAACTCCACGACAAACGCTACTCACCAATCCAGCAAACCAGGTAAATTCTAGGAAAAATGTGTTGTTTCATAGTGTTTCCATTTTTTCGGGTTCCTTAAGCAAAGCAAAGTGAAGGAAGAGTTGCATTTCCCTACAACCCTCCAAACCCACACCAAACACCTCCTAAGAAGGTACTTGGAGGCCTAGGGTTTGTTGGACCACGACCATATGTGACATTGTATTCATGGTCTGACAAGGTATGTTGAGCTCGTGTGGGAGGTTTCCTGTTCTCCACTCAACAACTATGGCTTTGCGATTGCCCTGCGACACCACGCAGTAGTCCAGTCTGAGTTTCATGTCCTGCTTTTACCATTTTATACCTTCGTTGTGGCAACCTGAAACCGCTAAGCGCATAAGAATATAAATCCCAGATACTCCATGTATGGGATACATGCCTACATTGATCCCTTTTCAACCACCCCCATGTATGGATTCATATGCCAGTCCCATTCGTCGTGTCATTCCAATGTGCCTCTGGTCGTTTTTCATTGCACTTGTCCGTTGCATCGCCAGCCAGGGGGAGCTTCTCCGTTGAACGTCTCATTTTCGCAACCGTTTCGCAGCCGTCTGAAGGGGGCGGAAAGGGCTCTCCCGTTGGCTTTCGGAGAAGATCTTGGATGGAAGCACAGGGTGTCAGATTCGTGGGAAGTAGCGCAGAAACGGGACGTCCAATATTGCTGCGCAGGTGTAGTGCTTTGTGAGGTCATCAGTTTGCGCCGCCCTGCCGTTGGTTCCTTTTAGCAGCAGCAGTGGCACTTGGCCTACGGCGCTGGCGCTGGCGCTGGATAGCTGCTGCAACTCCCTGGCCGCTGATGCGGCCGCTGCGGTGCGCAGTCGATTTGGCGGCTGGTGCACATCCCAAAGAACATAATCAGATTGACGTTCTCAGGGGGGTCTTTTGCAGGTGGTGCCTCGAAGCTGCGTGTTTTGACAACTGATTTGGAAGGATGTGTGGAAATCATTCCGTGGTGCAGTGCGGGTTTGCTAGACAGGTCAAAGCGTGGCATTCTCATGAAGAGAATCCTTGGCAGTGGTCACGCATCATGAATAAATACAGGGGTGCTCCCCAAGTGATAGACCTTGTAGGCTTGACACGTGAGCAAGCCCATGCTTGAGTGATGTCAATCTTGTTGAATTGATTTGTTGATGTGTTGTAAATCTTTTGTCTGAGGCTTGACATCAACCTGTGGCTTGAGCGATGCTTTTCTGAACTTGTTGATGTCTTCTCCCGAACAACATGTAAGTTGCACGCGTGCAACAGATGAAGTATGATGAGAAGAGCTTGACAACAGAAGACCTTCGCAATGTTGAGAACCAGCCACGTCCAGCAACTTGTGGGTGGAGTGTCTGATTTGAGCAAGGTAGCTGTGAATCTATTTGAGCAATTGAAAAGCTGCCTCCTTCTCACACTTCGATCTGGGACTCGGACGTTTTGTTTGGAACCATGAATGTCTTGGTGTCCGAGGAGGCAGCGCTCACGGCCATGTGGGCTGTCAAGGGGACTGGTCTGAGCCAAACATTTTTGGATTGGGTGCTTGCATTGGCTTGAAATACATTCCTTGAAATACTTTGCCACACCACTGGTGGATACAAGCGGGTCTGAAGCAGGCCCTGGTTTTCGCTCACTTGCGCAGCCTAGAAGATGGATTCCTGGCACTTTGTGGATTGGTATTGTTGCTCAACAAGCGTCTTAATGTTTTGGAGCCGCTGATCCAGCACTACATTCAACCATCCACGGGTCCAGATTGAGCACCAGGTCACACGTGCACAGACATGACGTAGATCGTCTCCCTGACCCTTTGATCGTTTTGATCCAACACCTAACTTGAGACCTCACCCTGCTATACATACCTCGGCATCAATGTCGCCCAGTATGCAGCTGAGCTGCGGTTGGGGCGTCGCGTTGCACAACCTCCACAAAACTGATGAAGATATGAGGACTGCTGTCAGGTACCTTGCATCTGAGAAGCGTGTCAGGAACAAGAAACAGATTAAACATTTTGAGCCGAACTTGGGAGTCCGCTATGTTCTGAGCGGCATGTTGTTGGAGAAAGCTTTGGACTTGAAGCCGGCCGCTCATGATGCATGATCGGTTGCACTTGGTGAATGGCTCGTTCCAGAGCCAGACCAGATGTCACCGCGTTCTCGAGAAGCAACCCAGCGCTGAGGCAGTGTCACGCAGACGAGAGGCGAGAGATCCCCAGCAGTATGCGATTATCGAACTCACCATAGTTGAAAGCCCAGCTACTGCGCAATGGTCAAGTGTGGATGGTTCTGGCACGTGCTGCAGGACTCTCAGGGGAACCTCGTCTACGCCATGGGCAGTCCTCATGTCAGCAGCCCATGGCCGAGTTATTGAAAGCATACCTTGAAGAGGCTTGTAGCCAATGCATGAACTGTACAAATGGAATGCGCAGCTGTTCCATGGCCGGAGCAAGCGTCCAATCTCAAGGCAGCTGTTCAAAACATTTGCTAAAGAAAAGGGCAAAGGTGCATGGAAACCTGCTGCTTCAAAGGTGCTCTGGAAAACTTGCAAAATCTTAGACACGTTGTCTAGCCGTGGCAAGCTGGAGAAGCTGATCTTGCAACACCTTGACTCGTTCAAGGCAATCCATTGGGGAGACGACGTGCAACCCAAGTTTCACTTCAGCATACATTTCATTTTTCAGCTTTGCTTTGACGCCACCGGCTATTAGTGAGTTGCTGGGGCCGTGAGCGCAAGCTCAGACCTTCCCAGCTTAGAACACTTTTCGGCGGTCTTTATTATCCCGGGCTCGACATTAATCAATTAATTTTATTGAATGTTTTTCACCACCTGTCAGGTGAGCGTTGTTAAATTTATGCCAGCGGTCCTTGCTTCTCCTCCGCCACCTCCTCCTGGTCCTCCTCCTCCTCCGCCTGCTCAACCGCGAGTGTCGGATGGCAGTGGTCCCCGCCGGCAACCGCGAGCTTCGGCGGGCAGTGTCCCCCGCCGGACCTCAACCGCGAGCTTCGGCTGGTAGTGTTCCCCGCCGGACCTCAACCGTAAGTCAGAAGATATGCCAGAAAGCATGTCAGAAGATATGCCAGAAAGAGTGCCAGATAGAATGTCAGAAAATATGTCTAAAGTTATGCCAGAAAGAATGTCAGAAGATATGCCAGAAAGCATGCCAGAAGGTATGCCAGAAAGGCTGTCAGAAAGAATGCAAAGATATGCCGGAAAGACTGTCAGATGGAAGAATGTCAGAAGATATTCCAGAAAGCATGTCGGCAGATATGCCAGAATGAATGTCAGACGAGATGCCAGAAAGAACGTCAGAAGATATGCCAGACATAATGCCAGAAAATATGCCAGAAAGAATGTCAGAAAGAATGCCCAAAGATATGCCGAGATGGAAGAATTTCTGAAGATTTGCCAGAAGAACGTCAGCAGATATACCAGATAGAATGCCAGAATGAATGTCAGACAAGATGCCAGAAAGAATGTCAAAAAAATTATGCCGGATAAAATGTCAGAAGATATGCCAAGAAACATGTCAGAAGAGATGCCAGAAAGAACGTCAGAAAATATGCCTGAAAAAATGTCAGATGAAGGAATGTCAGAAGATACGCCAGAAAAATGTCAGAAAACATGTCAGAAAATATGCCCAAAAGAATGCCGAAGTAATGTTTTAATACATGCCATAAATTTGTCAGATTAAATGTCATTGTGGGGATCACTCGAAGTAAAGATGTTTTTCCGAAATATATTTTAACATACATTTACAATATAATGCAAACTGACCGTAAATACTTGTCCTTTCTGATGTCAAACCCGTCCTTGCACTTTTGATTGGGGCCCACTCCTCCGCAGTACCCACTGTCACCGGGTGGCCCAGTGGATTTCCACCAAGCTCCGTTTGAGGCTGTGATGGCACTGAAAGTTCCCGGAGCTATTTTACCGCGCCTCGGTGCTTTCAGTGGGGCGGTCACCACCACGGAGACCCAAAAAATCGTACACCGCAACTCGAAGCTGCAAGTTTTGAAAGGGTGTGGGGGAAACTAGACAACTGTTTGGTTCCTTGTGTGCCAATCTCTTACGGGATTGCCACTCTGTTAACTCTATGGTGGGCGTGGTTCCTGCCTATAATATAATATAGATATATGCAGGGTCAAATTTATGTTTGTGTGGAAGTGGATGTGCAAAAAAATTGAGGCCCCCAACCATTCGATGTGTTTTTTTGGTTTTCCTTCTTGCTTACGGTTTGATGTGGGTTCAGTCTAATACACACCCAAGTGGATTGGATCAGTTTGTTAAACCAAACTAAGAGGAACAAACCGACACAATAAAATAACACAAAAAGACATCAAACTAAGAGGAACAAACCGACACAATAAAATAAAACAAAAACACATCAAACCGTGTAAAGACAAATGGAGGAAACCATGAAGGAACACAACATCTAACATATAAAATCAAACCTGAACAACGACCCATGTATGGAAATGTTTGAAGTTGATTGTATTGAACTTCAATGGAAAAACAGGTGTTGTCCGACGAGGAAGATCCCTTGGTTCTGCCTGCCTTCGCCATCGATTCGAGAGCGATTCGTAATTCGGAATTGAACACGTGCTGGTATACAAAATTGTTTTGTTGTTTCCTCCATTTACGGCCTTAAGACCGATGACACATACGCGTGTCATTATTCTATGGACCCCTACTTGTACCCTAGAATTTGCGGAAGGCCTTTGAGGTGCGTGGAGGCTGATGTGCAAGTGGGTGTGGCGTGGTAGTTTTCTGAGGTTGCCCAGATCGTTCTAAGGATTTGGCCAATGATACCCCTCCGGATGCTCGGCTATGCTCGGCTCGTGCGGCAGGGGACGACACGCGACTTCGGACTCACCGAAGGTCCTACACCCTCCACTCCGGTTGGGCCTGACTGGACACTCCTGGCACGCACGCACCCGGGCCCCCAGGTGTCACCGAACCGAAACGGTATACAACAGCCGACAGCGATCGATCTCCCGCCACCGCGAACGACGCCGACGATGGGGCGGTCAGCGGTCAGCGGTCGAAGCGGTCAGCGGTCAGTTGGGCGGGTGACGAATGAAAGAGTTGATTTCTTCCGGTTTCTCCCTGTTTACAAGGAATCTGCATGAACGGCGGCACACGGCTGTGATTTCAGAAGAGCTAGTGATTTACCAGAAGTTCTGCCGGGTTACATGTAGCAAGCGCACAAGGCCACCAAACATTAGTCCGATTGCGGAAGATGTTGAACCAGAAAACGAACCCATTACTGTATAATGTAGACTCTTGATTCATAACCCCCCCGAATCAAGAGCATGTCCAATTCAAATGGGGTTTATGGTCCTCCAGAGTCTACATGATGTTTGCCCATGTAACCCGCGCTGCGATGGCCATCGCCTTTGATGGACGTCGCCTTTGGACTCCACCTGAGACCTTCGACTCCGACTGACGGTCCGGCGTCCGTTCGTGTCGTGGTCGCGTTCTGCCCCAAACGGCATGTGGGCGTCCTGTCGACCAAGCGCAGGGAGGGAGTGAGTGAGGACCTGTCGACTCTTGTGAGTTCAGCCCCAAATTGCTCCCCCAAAAAGGCCTTCCAACTTGGTCAGGAAGGCCGTGTCCTCTTGAATCCCTAACTCACGTGATCTCAGAACACGCCAACGGAACACGAAAACGTCTGAGGACTCCATCATCCTCACCTTGGGCTGTGGAAAATTCCGGCCCCTGGGCTCCATGGATCGACGGGCTCGAACGGCTAGGACCGGCGCCAGGACACTGGCGTTTCCGTTCGGTTCGAGCTCGATGTAGCTCGATAGCTCGATCCGAGGGACTGGAAGATTCGACTGGATCAGTAGGAGACCGACCAACATCTTAAGCCTCACATAGCCATCATAGCCTCACCAGCCTAAGCCAGGATGCGGGGGCAACGAAAAAGAGACGGATCAAGCCTCGAAATTGAGATCAAGATGACTGATGCGGGGCATCGATCGATTTGATGAGTCAACTAGATATCTGCGGACTCGACCTGGCTCGGCCGGTCGCGAGCGACCAACCGGATCCAGGATCCAGGCAGAATGGACAAGCCTTAAAAGACCAAGCATCCAGGAGGTGAAAACGAGAGAGACTCCTTGAAATCATCAGGGATACCCGGAGTGTACCACCTGTTTGGTCTTTGGACCAGGGTCGAAACCATGCCATCCACGGTCACCTTTTTTCGTGTTCAGACATGGCTGTTGAGCGTTTGGAGACGCGAAACCGGAGAACAGACTGGAGGTTCCAGGATGTGTCTTGCTTTTCTCCGGGTCCGTGAACATCTTCTCATTCCAGCTCTTCCCGAAGCACTCCAGGATATTAGGCCTGCGTTGAAGTGTTCCTGTGATTGCCCGTATATGTCAATCCGGCAGTGCCAGCTGCCCCAAACCTCACATCCATGTGCATTGGATGAGCCGAGCCACCCCAACTCCACCCAATCTCGATCCGGTCTGCATAGCTATCGGGTCGGTGGGTGAACGCTTCACAGCCCGATGGCGGAGACGTGCGTCCATCGTTGCATCGTTGGCGGCGAGTGACGTCGCGAGTGACGTCGCGACCTCTCCGCACAACGATGCAATCTGCTTCGACTCGTCCGATTCAGACCCTTAAGGGTTGGAGTCTCAAGTGTTCAGACCCTTCCTGCTTCAATGCGATTGGTGCATTCCAAGTTTGTGTCAAACTGACATACCGTAGACCCAAGTCAACGTGTTTCTGCCCAAGTCAACTGCGTCAGGATCGGTCCCATGCGACAGACCGTTTAAGGGCTTTCGCGTGCTTTACAGTAGATTGTTTTAGCTCTTCCATGTAGGCTGGCTATAGACCCTATAGGCTAGAGCTGAAGCGTAAAAAGGAAAAGCTCTTCCATCACTACATGCATGCATGTTCAACATGCTTTTCGTCACGGCCCTATGCGATGTGTGATTTCTGCTAGTTGGGATTTGATCCACGGCCAAAGCGGCTTGGGAGGACTTCAGACACTGAACGAAACTATATTCTTTCGTTTGATGGGTACAGTATTTATTACTGAGTGAGCTGTATTTGCCTCGAAACCGTTGGCACCTTTTGAGCACCGAGGTTAAACAACTTGGACCTCGGCACGCTTGGCGGCTTGCCACGGCTCCTGGATGTGTCTCGGACCAAGGATTGGATTGGCGCAGGAAATTCCGGGTGAACAGATAAACACCTCGTTCTTTTATGGCTTCAGAGTTGCTTGTTTTTGTTTTGATACAAACAATTCTATATATAATATAGGTCGTAATGACATGTATAATTGCCATTTGACGGACATACAAATGGCATAGATATGGATTCATGTAAACCAGTTTTTTGGGAGGCTTTGGAAGGCCATTGCGTGTTCATGTTGGTATTCTGCTGTACTGGTAGGTTCAAGCTGGTATTCTGCTTTGAAGTAACAACCAAGGGGAGATACTGGAGTTTCATGGATCGACTTGGACCTCATTCACTCTTTGCAGGTGCTTTGGGCGTTCGAGAAGAATGTTAGGTAGAGTACGGTACGCAGTAGATCACCAAGCATTCTGACGCCTGGCTATCCAACATATGGGCTTTGTGTTGCTTTTGGCTATAGGGAGACTCCGGCCCAATTGCCTTGTACTTTAGTCGTCCGTTGACCAGGAGCTCATTGACGGGAGTCTCCCGCTTCACCATCTTCACCCCTGCCACGTTCGATGCCTTTCATCAACTCTTTCAGCAAACAAAAGAAACTCCAGGTCACTCAAAGCCATGGCAGTGACATTTGGTGTTTTCAAATGATGGTGTGTGAATCAAATGCGTATCTTGGTCACTCACCATTCTGAAAGACCACTTGGTCACCGCCACTTGGTCACCACCCACTCACACATTTGGCTGCTCCCCATGCAGGGGCCGCCGGGCCGCCAGGTTTGAGAAAGGGTGAGTGTTGATTTTCCCGGTTCCTGAGTGACAGTGAAATCCCCTTAACATGCGTGCTGTCTGTGGAAGAGCTACTACTTAGCTAGTAGTAATGCCCTTAGTTACTATCAGCTTCTAGCCGTCCGAAAAACACCAAACGAAAGGGCCGCCGGTGGGCTCAATCGCCCCGGATCCGCTCGATGGCCACAGGTGGGTCAATGCAACGATGCCTACTCCGCGGTCATCATCGCCACGAAGCTCGCCGAGGCGCTGGGCTGCCCCTCGGTTGCTGAGACGGATCCCGGAGCGAAAACATGGACACATGGAAGAGTTTTTCAGGCAAAATTGAGAGAGTAACCGCATGGTCTGGCGATGGACATGGTGAGAATCTCAGTTAACGAATAACAAAGCCCTAAAAAAAGTAAATGCCGAAAAACTTCCACTTCCGATGACACGACAGTGCACCGCGACGCGAGGGTTTCGAGCCGACACTCTGAACCCCAAACAAACTGTCCCAGACTGGGACGGGATCGGACCTGCCTGACGATCGTCCGGTGGGACCGACGGACCGGGGCTGGAGAACGGAGCGGACGTTAGACACGGACCGTGGGCCGAAAAGACTTCGGTCACTTAGCAATAGAAATCGTCGACCTGTTGATTCGAAAGACCGGAATATGGATATAATATCTATATCCCAGCATGATAGAACTCAAAAAGGTAGAAAGACCTGTGAATCACAACCCGGTCTCATTTGTTCCTGTGACATTATTGATAAGGACCTTCATTCCTGTGACCCTATTATTTGGCTCATGTATTCCTGCTGTAAAAAAAGGTTGCAATCCGGTCTCTGAGTCAATCTGACTCGTATACACACCATCAGGTCCGATGCTAAGAAAAAACCAACTCCGTTGAGTGATGGCTTTCTGCGGTGTCGATGAATTCCTCCGGTGATTGAGACAGCACCGGAGGCGTTAGGCGTTGGCTGTAAGGGGCACAGGATCACGAGGAAGAAGCTCTGCATCATGTGAGAATCTTGGCAATCTCCTGAATCATGCTCGATTGATGTTTAGAGAGGTGTTGAGATGCCTACAACAATCCTGAAGTTCTTTTCCTCTACTTTGAGCAGAGAAACCATCTCATGGTCGGTCAGAATCTTTGGAATCCCGACAACAAGAACGATCAACAATCCATTAATGTTTTATGTTATTTTATTGTTATTGTTATTTTTACTTTTGTGAGGTCATGCTGCAGAGTGTTTGATGCCCAAGGGTTTATGTTGGAAGTGTTGCATCAACATCCATGAAAACTATTGAAAACTCCTCGAAGGTGCTTGGGGCAACTGATTACCTCCACTAAAGACATGCCGCAAGCGTTTACGCCGTAAGCGAAGACGTTCAGGATTTGCAGAAACAATATGGCCCTACATCTCAGCTCAGTGTGTTCATGTTTTCTTGGATCTTCTCAACGAGGCACGGTCCACGACCTGCCATTGCACTTCGCAGTCTCGTGGTTTGAACAGAAGGCGCAGTCTCTCTCTCACGTGAAAGCTCGTGGAAGCTTAGGGTTTTTAAGGCGTCCGGGTGTCCATCAGGAGCGTTTGGGGAAGTTTGCTTCCTGATCCTCATGCGCCTCATGGTTTGTTCTGATCCTCATGCACCGTTCTTTTGCAGACTTCACGAATATCACCAGACTATGTGAAAACCTCTTCATACCGGGCCCGAATGAAGTGTGACCGTCGGGAAGGGCTGCAGGCCACGCGTCTCGTGAGCCAGTGCGCACGTCGTCTCGGGAGATCGGATGAGATCGGGGGACCCCCCCCCCCCGCCGGCCGCTGGGACGCGTCACTGGTGATGACTCGTCCTTCTCCTGGAAGAGGCGTGCTGGCTTCCAGGGTGCTGGCCTCACCTAGATCCAACGGCGTGTCGACAGGTCAATGGAAAGGATGAAAGGAGTCATTCATATTTTTTGGGGGAAGGTCCTTCAGTCTGAATGTTGGATGGTCGATCGGTCGATCTATCGTCGCTGGATGTCGATTGTATTTGAAGTAATTATACCATGGGTGGTTAATGGACACCCCTCAAGAGCTAAGGGGCTATAAATAGACACCCCTTAAAGGGTCCTGGTATCATCTTATATCATATTATATCATATTATCCATGTCTTTGAGAAATTAAAATCTCAAGTAGAAGCATGTATCGACTCATGTCTCGCCGATCCGCTTCATTCTGGAGCAGAAAACATCGCAATCGGTTCTTGCAGAGAACCCTTTCTTTTAATACATTAAAATAGGGAGACCTCCCAGGCAACGACCCCTGGAAGAAGGAAGAGTCGACCCGTCTGCCCAGCCAGGGGCGATCAGAGCTCTCCCTATTCGAATACACGTCCATACGGAAATACTGTATATATGTATACTGTACATGTCATCACACATATCCAAAGGATCTGGAGACAAAATGGTTCAGGAATGGCGAGCTGTTGAGACATGGAGCAGTGACGCATGGAGCCGTTTTGTTGAGTGTTTTTTCCAGAGGAGTTGGACACATCACTCACAAGCTGCCCAGTAGGTCCGCATCACTCATCGTGCCATGGTTTGGGCATGTTTTGGACACCCCTTCGAGCAACCGGTCGGCCGAGATCGTTTCGGCAAACAGCTGTGTGAAGGCCGTGGCCGTGCTATTGACTTTGCTTCATTTGAAGCTCAGCCCAGCACGCCGTGGGAGTGTGAATCTGGTGATGACTTTGGGCGTGGATCGGTTCACTAGTAGAGTCACCTGTTCGTGGTTTGGCCGAGCTTTTGACGAACACTTGGGCCACTTTTGTGGTGGCATGTGTGTAGACAGACAATTCTACGGATGGGGGTATTCTTTGAGAAGAGCCTCGGAATGCGGGAATCAGCCGCTGCTTTTTGTCCCCAAGCTTCTTTAAAGTGACCTTTCTCTCTTCGTCCCTGTTTGTGACCTTTTCCAGGCCAATCAGTGACCGCAAAGCGGATCAAAAGGTACATGGTTCTTGATGTTCATCAAAGCTCGCAAGCATTGAAACACATTGGAGAGTCCCCATGTTTGCGGCCCCAAATATGGGGACAGAAAGCATGGCGATCTGCAGAAAGCATTGCTGCGGATCCCAGACACCGCTTTTTTTATGATTATATAGGAACAAGAAGCTACTAGGGTGGAGGCCATCGCTACTAGGGTGGAGGCCATTCCTGCGATTGGTAGCAAGAAGCTACTAGGGGCCATTGCTACTAAGATGCCCCCTAGAATTAATAAGAAATGAAGGTGTTTTCTTGATCTATAAGGGCGCGTTGCTGGTCATTTGAGGGGGTTGAAGTTGCTGGTAACAGTATGAGATGGAGGAACTGTTCAAAACTTACCAAATATGTTTGTCGTATCAAAGATGTTATAGTTTCAAGACAGCCCTTAGATTCACTTGGAATGATGCAACATATAGAAAGATTGAACTATTGTCCAGATATAATACAGTACATGGCACATGATGGACACCTGCGAGACTGATCAACTTTGCTTCTTTTCGATGAAGCTCCAAGCCTAGTAAGGCCTGGTGGTTTCTTTCTGTGACGACGCCGCCCTTTCGCTGGCGCGAATGCTGGAAACACGGCGTTGTTGCTCCGAGGAACCTCAAGAACATCCGCCTGGGCCCTAACTTGCCAGGATTCATCACAGGGAACGTTTTGAAGGCGCCGAAGGGACCGGTGCACTCGGTGCTTGGGGGGCACTAGGAGCGTTCGGACGCGACGTTCGGAGCGATCGGACGCATCGCTACGAAGGGAGCGATCGGACGCTCGGAGAGACACCGGTGCTTGGAAAAAGAAAGGGACGCGCGCCTGTCAGAGACGGCCTGTTGCGGAGGGTGGAAGGTTTTGAGGTTCGCCCTGTGAGGTGGGGGATGTGTTCAGTCGGGCGAATGCGTCCGATCGCTCCGTTCGGAGGCGGTGCCGCGATCGTAGCGTCCTTGTTCCGTTCGTAGAAAGGTACTTTGCTCCTAGTAGCGTCCTTGCTCCTAGTAGCGGTGTGCATCGGGGAATCGATCCCCTGTTGGTTTGGCCCAGGGCAGGGGATGGTTGTTCTGAACACCCCAAATCATCTCACATGGCTTTTTTGGGGCTTTTGATCGTTCTCTCTCGGTCGGATACACCGGTGGTTTCCGCTTACAAAAGGATGTTCAAAGATGCTTCACCTGGCATCATGTCAGACATACCAAATCACCAGGTCGTCGACTGGCTGAACTGGCCGCTGAACGGTCGTCCCGAGCCACAGAACACCGGTTCACGTGAAGGACGAACCACCTCCAGTCGTACCTCAGGTTCGGTACGACTGGACCCTCCTGGCATCCACACCAAAGACCTAAGAAGGTACTTGGAGGCCCAGGCAAACAATGCGGCAGGTGCTGAACGAGAAGTTCGGGCTGAAACCCGCAAGGCTGCATGAGGAGCCAATGGCCCCCTTGGGCCCCCGCGATCTGGTTCCGCCCTGCTGGTGTCCCCAAACACTCCAATCTGGAACTGGCATTTTGACCGATCAGTTCCAGGATCTTCCGAACTCGGATTTGGGGTGAAATCGCCTCGTAAAGAGGAGGAACGGTCGTCTCCCAAAAACGCCGCCTTTTTTTCAACGGAAGGTCCTGCTTTCAGGGATCGGTCCGTTCGTCTCCACCGGCGCGGGGCAGGGCTCGGACCTTCTCCACCGACCGAAACAAGACTGTAGACTGTTGATGACGATACCAGCATGACATCAAACAGTTTCAGCAGACATTCTTTCTCGTCACACATCGTCACAGCCTTGAATTCCAAGGTTGGTGGAAACGTTTGCAAGTAGATATATAATATATATATATGTTATTGTGTGATGTGTGTATATACACACAGGCTCCAACTGTTTGGGAACCGCATGTAAACAAACGATGTTCTTTCAGGACAGGATGATATCAAATTGGAAATGCTGCATCACTGTCACAAGACAACGGCTATCCGCAACAAGACAACGGCCATCCGCAACGGCCATCTCCACGAACACACCTGGAGTGTAGGTCTTCTGCACTTCCTGTGGAGTTCACCACCAGTTTGGTATTCGGAACATGGTCATCCTCTCGTCACCATGCCATCCACGTTGGCCCATGATGGGAGTGGCCTTGGATCGGAAAGCCAGCAGCTCACAAGGTCGATTTGAAGCCCAAGCTGACCTGTGCACCAGATTCTCTCCGTTGTTTCACTTGTTTGTAAGACAAAGACTGTAGACAAGGACATCAACCTCTTCTCGCAACTCTTGAATCAATCATGTATAGATAAAGAAGGGCTGGTTTGGTTTTGGAGTTTTCTTGAATTGATCTGGTGGGTCCTTTGTGGATTTGTTTGCCTGGACCGTTTGGGAAGCCCACGCATTTCCCCTACACCTCCAGTTGTACCTCCTCAGAAGGTACTTGGACCCTCCTGGCACCCACACCAAACACCTAAGAAGGTACTCGGAGGCCTAGGGTTCAAAACCGAACTCGTTCAGGAGGATGAAGACTTGGCGGAAATGCTCAGTGGCAAGTGAGTCTCCACGCCACATGAGTCTCCACGCGCAACACCGCGCGCGGTGCGCGACGCCGTCTGCACAGAGGAGGGCGTGGCTCTTGGGATTGCTGATCATGGTGATGTGCTTTGGATAGGATCAAAACCGAACCTGGCAACCATGGCGATTGTGGAAAACTTATAATAGATAAAGTTAGCAAGATGAGCACTTTGCCAGGGTTCCGTTCTGTATTGGATCTTCATCATCTCATGATGACCAAAACTCTCACGGGTGAAGTACAGACAACTTAGCCCAGGATCTAGCAGCAGAGCACCCCCTGGTGTCTTACCAGGTTTAGGGTGTGTGTGTGTGCATGTGTGCAAGGAAACTGTTGGAGATCCCCAAGGAAGCTTGGTTTCTCTTCAAGAGCATATCAAGACCTCCTGAAAGGTACCAACCCAAGAGATTGGGTTTAGGGTTTAGGGTGTCACAGTCCCTTTGGTTGCTCTACACTGACGAACACATCACATGGAAGTGGATGACATGGTCTTTTGCTTGAACTTCAAACTTGGATCGCTCCTTTCCTCAACAGGGAGGGTTTACTACATCCAAGTGATTTTTTTTGTCGGAGTGTATCTACTCAGAACACCCACCGCCACAGGTTTCAAATGCTTTCAGGATCCCTTGAACCACCTGGTGGATCGGGGCCTGGCATCCCGGCGGGTCTACCATCTGGTCGTTGAAACGGAACCACCTGGTCTACCACCTGGTTTTCAGTAGACTAGTGGTGACTGCCATCACCCCCTTACCTTGGGTTTTGGAGGGGGGGACCGGGGGGACCTAGAATATGTAACTTACTTACAATGGAGGAACTCCATAAAAATGTATCTTGTATGTTGTACCGGCGTAGTTTCAGCAGCTCTCTACTCTGGGGCATGAGCAGAGCTCTGCTCCTGACCGGCTGTCAGGTAGAACGGATCAGTGTCGGAGTCGATGTCGGGAGAGATCTTGTCGTTCACCTTGGTTGGAGGATTCTGAGTGGTCGAGTATCATCTCTATAGCCTTCCAAGACTATTTAGAAAATGGTTACTGTACAATGATGGTTGTTCGGTAAAGGCTATTGGATTAATGGTTGTTGGAAGCCTATAGGGTAATTGAGGTTGTGAGAAGCGAAGGACATGTAGTGGCTGACTTGGCACTGCCGATGATTTGTTAGATAGGTTCCGGACTAGATTCATTGGAGTTTGGCTGTCTTGTTCTTTGGTGTGTTTTGCAGTTGACAAATTCATGTCGAAGAGAATAGCATTTTGATTTGACAAGGTTCTGACATGTTCTGTTCATCAGTCAAGGAAACTTCTCAATCACCAAACATGCATTGTTGACCCATCATATATAGACCATTTTAACTCCTTTTACTGTATATGGAGATGGGTGACCATCCAGGTAGCAACCCTAAATATATGCCTTCATGTCTCCAGTCTGAGCGTAAGACCTGGTCAAACCGACCTCCTTGAGTAGTGTTGTTGTATGATCAACTCCAGTATTTCATGAGGTCAGTGACCTGTAGGGATACAGTAGTCACCAGTCGACATCTAGGGGGTCCACATTGCTCGATGGGAGCGGATAATATTGGACTCATGTGGTGAGGCTCCATGGAACAATCGGGTACAGTAATGCTACAGTACTGGTACCAAAAGGAATGCTCCTGAGAGTTCTTGGGTCTTACCCCTTTCAAGCAATTTGACCATGAACATGAAGAGAATCGCTAGAGGGCCATCGCTAGAGGGAAATGTGTGAATTGCTGGAACTTGGCAAGGCCAGTGTTGCTTGGCCCCTTTAAGACATTCAAAGCGTTCCAGCGCCAACATTGGTCGAGATGTTGTTCCAGCTGGGATAGCACCAATTTCGCAAGACTGTTGCCCTCCACAATGCCCAGATTGGCCTTGGGCCTGTTCTCCATCGGAAGACGTTTGTTTCCTGAAGACTCCTGACACGATCAAACCCGGCATGGGGGGCGAGAGATAGAGTGTGGCAGACGGTCAGATGTACCGGCTGTTTTGGCTCAGCGGTGGACGATCCTTCGGGGAAAGCGTGAACGCTAGAGATTGGAACGAAGTGAAATTGACTTTACAGGCCCTTTGGTGACAGAAACAACCAACTGGGATATCAAGTTCGGTCATGTTGAAGAACCAGGGCAATAGGATTTCGACAGAGTCGGTTGTGGTCATCCCACCTATTGGTGAGTGAAGAAGGCAGGAAGGAACGAGGAAAAACGCCACGCGGAGTCAGGTGTCCCAGTGAACGTCGGGTGTGTAGTGATCTTTAGACAACTTTAGACTCTTTTTGGACCAACCAGAATCATCATCCACTGAAACCAGGTATATAATGGGAAATCCAAAGAACATGTTACAATATAATTTCATCATATTTCATCAATTTCCTCAGCAATGTTGAAGCTTCATCATGTTTCATGATCGATCAACTACAACAGACTTAGCACCGGAAAATCCCCAAGACCCCCAGCAGACTCGCCGAAGTTTTGGTGGGAAACAATGAGTTTCAAACCTCAAAAAAGGTTTCCTACTATATATTTTATAGTGGATTTTCGAGTAGATGGCACAGACGACAGACCTCAAACTTCGGCTGTTTGTATGTGTCCGCAAGAGTACTGAGTTTAGTGCAACTCAGGGGTCATTCTCCACATGCGAATGTCTGGCGTTCTTACTTTTACATCCGAGTCTTCGGTATTCTCGCTCCTCCTCCTCCTTCTCCTCCCGCCGCCAACACTCCCACTCCTCCTCACTCACACCAACTTCCTCGCACCACTCCTTTCCCTTGCTGCTCTTTGGAACGTGGCTGCTTGGTGTCAACGGGGCTCAGTCACTTTCGGACACCAAGTCACCTCACACAGTCGCCCCCAAAAAGTTGACATGAACTTTTCAGATTGCTTTGCGAGATTGGTGTACACAAAACTACAACATCACACACTCCGGATGCGATCTGATTGCTTTGATCGCCCTGAAGACATCGTAGGTAGGTAGAGAGAGCAGAGGGGTCCAACCATCGAGTTCAACCTCCACGAGCACGACGTTCCAAAGGACAGAGTATCCAAGTTTCAAGAGACTCGAAGCATCAAGATCATCATAGATCATCAAGAGACTCGACCGACGGGTACTGGTGCGTGTCGACGTAGAACTCAGTAGCACTTTGGCGCAAACCGGTGCAAAGAAATGAGCTTGTTCTAGTATGAACCAGGCACTCCATGTATGCCATATATGCCTACATTGACACCCAAAACCACCCCAACTGATCGGCAGTCCTATGGCAGTCCCATGGAGTGTCTGGGGTAAGAACCAGGCACCAAGTTGGAAATCGGAAAACGACGCAGGAGACGCTCCACCAGGACGTCTCCGCAGATGCTCCACCAGAGAATGTCAATGTGGACGTCTTCGTTGCCATTCCACAAACCCTAGGGATCCAGTCGTACCTTCTCAGAAGGTGATGTGTTCGACACTGTTATGTAGCTTTGGAGGGTCCAATCGTACCGTCACTGAGGAGGTTCGGTACGAAAACGGATCCCTAAATAAAACGAAAACGTCACTGCCCCCAATCAAAAACCGATATCGGTGTACACACTGGACGATGAGTGCTTCGTGGTACGGAGTCCGTGTTTCCTCCACACACGGACTCCGTCTCTCCTCCTTCTCACTCGTTACAAAGCATCCACTGGTTTGTTCCGCTCTTTGATGCAAAGGAATGTCAAACGTGGTTGATTGATGGTCTTGCTTCTAATCGATGTTGATTCTTCTCCAGCGCTGATGGCACGACTCTCGACCGCCTCCCACATCCGTGTTGACCGCGCCGACCAACCGCTGCTACGAGTGGTTGGGCGCGTAGGGTCGCAAGTTTCAAGTCTGGATGATGTTCAGGTGAGATGAAAGCGTTCCAACAGGGTGCACAGATGGCTCCCAGTTGATGGATCAGAAGGGTTGATGGAAGTGTCATGCTGAAGTTTATATAAGAACACAAGAGTTTCTTGGATGTTCAATCCCCCCACACACAATTTGTTCCTGATTCTTTCATGGCCAGTTGCACCTGTCGATTTGGTCGTTTGCCGTGTGTTTTTCTTCTTTAAATGACGTACCATCTGAGAAGCTACGACTGGACCCTCCTGGCGCCTACATATTGAGTGTCTCCTTGCTCACCTTCAGGGTGGCGGTTCCCTAGGAGAATTAGTGGGTCTCCGCAAAACCCTGATACCTTCTCAGAGGGTGGCCGTTCCCTAGGAGAATTAGTGGAGACCCAAAACCCTGATACACAACTCGAGATGCCGAACCTGAATTGGTCCTATTGACCCACCCGGTCCCGAACCAAACCGATTGGTTCGACCTCCAACCTTTGAGGCGGAATCCGACCGGGTGGCGTCGACCGGGGTCGCGTAAGAGACAGGTGACTTTGGGGGTCGTCGTGGTTGGAGTTGGAGGACTCACATCTTCGGATCCAAAACGTTGGCTTTGGTTTCCCTGTCCTCGCAATCCCAACGTTCCGCTGGGAGTTTTTGTGGGGTTGGAGAAGAAGAGAACTGATCCAAGTCTTTATGCGGCATCTTTTGAGTGACCTGAGTCATCATCCTTTTTTGGTTCCAATTGACCTCAAATACGCAGGTTGTCTTGCGTGAAAATCAACAAAGACGGCGGCTGAGCGCGTCTCCTTCGGCTTTCAGAGTGAGCGGTCGTGCGGTCGTGAGCGAGATTGGTTCTGGACGTTTTCGATGGCATGGGGCACGTAGACTCTCAATCGGTGGTTATCTTTTCCCGAATCACCAACACCCACACTGCAGGGGTCACTCCACTGGGACGTCGACTGGCACTGGTGCGTGCGTTTGGCTTCGCGGAGACCTAGCAGAGGTGACCTACACCAAACAGGACCGCGTGGATGCGTCGTCTTAGGACGGGAATGACATGACGAAAGGCGCCTCTGTTTTTCAGAACCGGTGCACCTGATACCAAACATGCGATCGACATCGATGCACCTGATCTTTCTACGGACTTTTTTGTGCGGAAGCGGTGTCTACGGATTTCACCTGGGCCCTGTTTTCGAGTCAAGACATCCACCGATGGCGGTGAATCGCGAAAGCGATCGCACCGCCGTGAATCTCCGAGGCCCGCTTCCAACGTGCGAGGAAGATGGTGC